AAAGAATATTTTATGCAATCTTTCTTTGTCAGTTGAGACGAAAAAGCGAATTCTTAAAAGCTATAAAAATCATATCTTGTTATACGGAAGTGAACCATGGACAATTGGTAGATAAGTGAAAAATTATTTGGAAGCTGATGAGAAGTTTTATGGACGAATAATGAGAATACCCTGGACAGATAAAAAGAGTAATGAGGATGTCTTGAAAGAAACTTGACTCACGAAGAGAACTGATTGCCAACATCAGAAAGAGACAAGTCTGTATTCTTTGGTCATGTGATGAAAAATAGAAAACTGGAGTACATCGTGACATTAGGAAAGTTGGAGGGGAGGAGAGGCAGAGGGAGTCAGAGAGAAAAGGTGATGGACAATATGACATCATGGCATGGAGGATCATCTGTGATAAGTTGATTTAAAGTACACGAGACAGAAGGTTGTGGATAGCCATGACTACCAACGCCACACGGCATTTCCTTTAAGAAGAAGCTGATGTTGCACAGTTTAATTCAACAATTTGTAAGTGCAGATCAGGACCGCACCACGAACTATCAGAAAGAAGCGTCTTGTGCGTAGACGTGGCAATCTTGCGCTCTTGTTGCAGACTAACCCGCTTCTTTTGGGCTCACAATTTGTGCGCTTCAAGTGGAGAACTGGGCCAACGGAGCAGACCTAGGTGCTGTGTGCATTCTGGTCTTCTCTTAACAGTTACAAGTTATCGTTTCTACTTTTCTCAGTTTAGCAGACCTTGACAAAAACTGGAGACGTTGCGGCTAAAGTGTCAAGTAGAGATCCTTGTCAGACAAGCAAGCAGCTTTCAACTTACTTTCACCTTCGACGGATACATGATCTATTGCTAAAGTAAAATGACATATGTAGAAAGGCAATCCTCTCTGCAGGTAATCCAGATGATCGTGTCACTATATGTTATAATCTGTAGGTCTGAATATGTTTCTGACTATCACATCCTTCACTTTTATGACAAATCTCTAGCTTATTATATCATTAGGGTGGAGGATATAAAACATATATTGCAAACAGCAAAGGACACTGCGCCGGGGCCAGACGGAGTCAGGTATGCCGACATGAAAAGCTTGAGTGTGATGAAGACTGGGGAGATACTTTGTTACTTCAACCAGAGAGTCAGAACAGCTTCAGTACCCCAGGAATGGGTGCACAGCTACATAATTCCACTTCCAAAACCAGAGGTTTCAGGATTATCACCCTACAAAATACTTTTAGCAAAGTGATAGAGAAGATTATTGCTGTTACACTACAAATGTTTTTGGAAAGGGAAGAGCTCCTGCAAAAAGGTTTGGGTAGTTAACGGCCACGGAAAGATATCTGTTCAAATGCAGCTACTTTTGCTTTTGATGTTTATGAGGGGTTTCGGAACAGACAGGAGACGATTGTGTTTGTGGCAGCACTTGATCTTGGGGATGCCTACAATAGAGTCAAATATGATATTTTGATTTCTGCACATAGAGAAGGGGTCTGTCCGTGGTTTATGAACTGGATAGCAGCTGTCCTGCATTTACGCATTGTTACCCTTCGTCAGGGTACATGGACCTCAGAACCATGTAATATCGCCCGGGTATTATCCCAGGGTTCTGCAATTTCACCAGTGCTCTTTAATGTGTATACAAGCAAGATTGCAGAACTTGAATCACCAGGTATTGAGACAGACATTTGCCGATAATGTTCTTGCATATAGGCAGGGGAGAGATAGGCGACAGATAGCTCACGGGCTACAAGCAACTGTAGACAAAGTGATTGACTGGTGCAGAAATGGGAGGTGTCATCAGCTCGGAAAATGCAGCTGTTTTATGGTGCTCTCTGGACAATAGAATTGTAAAAGCTAACGTTCCAACCCTCACAGCTGTTAACAGTAACATCAAAAGAGAAAGCCAGCTGAGGTACCTGCGTATCATTTTCCTTCAGGGATCATGTGGAGGCAGTTGCAGTAAAATGCCAAAAATGACTCAATGCTTTCAAGATTATAGCAGCAATGGACATGGAACAAAAAATGTTGTTCACAATATGATCCTGTCGGTGATAAATTATGGACTTGGTATGCTTACCATATCAAAGAGTCAGCTGATGAAACTTGAACGCATACAGAAGGACGCCATGCGGGTAATTCTGAAATGTACAAGAGATACCCCGGTAGTATGTATGCGATACATACTTGCACTGCCTACTAATGCAGATAGGCTCAACGTTATCTTAGCAAAGTCATATCTCAGAGTAGCTGTGGACAAGAGACACGTCTTGCATGAAGACCTGGATAGAGCTAAGGGTCACAGACTTAAAAGAGGAAAGTCTTGGATGACGCAAGCTGAAGACACAGCTGGACATGTGTGCAGGCTTGATAAATTTAGGCGAGGAGAGGAGTGGGTCAAAATGTCCAAACAGATTTCAAACTTGTGTGGGATTCTAATCACTTTGGGACGTGAGCGCAGGGACTGACCAGCTGGTGCTGTAGAATCAGGTTCAACAGATGATTCATGAAAATTTTCGCCTAGGTGATGTGATTGTATAAAATGGCTCTGTGTTGAGGGTCAGACGAAGTGCAAGGGGGTTCATGGCGAAGGCGAATGGACGTCGCTTGGTGCAACAAAGCCTGGCATGTGATATCACAATGTCTAGTTTGAGAATGGAGGTGAAGGCAGTCACTGCTGCCCTTCGCTGGCTTGAGAATCAGCTGTACACGCATGCCATCATTGTAACTGACTCACAGAGCATACTGAGAAAGGCGAAGTCAGGCATGCTCCGTGCAGAGTGGCAAGCATCACTTCAGAGGTCCCAGGTAGTAAGTATCCTTTGGATATTCTCCCCCAGGTGATACCGGTGTGTTGGGAAATGAACAGGTAGATAGACTGGCCAGTTCTTTACTACTTGCCGGTGAAATGATGTATGACAAGCTGGATGTTGTGAACGCCCTTTGGGAGCTTGTGAATAGTTCCCAGGCATAGATAGATCATTACGGTCTGAGGAGAATGGCACTGCGAGGAGTTAAAAGGAGATCTGGCCGACACTCGACACTCAGGGGAAAGGTGAGACAGATATACAATTATACAGTTACTGGTGCCATCGAAATTGTAACTTTTCGCTTGATGCTGAAGATGGGGACGGAGCGCTTATAGGGATGACCCGAGTGCTGTAATGTCGATTCCTAATTTAACATTCAACATCTCTAGTTGCATCTTCTTCGTCTCCACCGTATTCTACTCCTTTCTTCTTCTTCTTCTTCTTCTTTTTCTTCTTCTTCTTCTTCTTCTTCTTCTTCTTCTTCTTCTTCTTCTTCTTCTTCTTCTTCTTCTTCTTCTTCTTCTTCTTCTTCTTCTTCTTCTTCTTCTTCTTCTTCTTATTATTATTATTATTATTATTATTATTATTATTTTCACCCATCCCTTTTCATCGTCTCATGTTCCACCTATTCATACTCCTCTTTTCATCAATTCACTCTATAATCAATAGACTTTATTTTTTTTAAATGTGAAGATTTCAGCCAAATGATATACACCTACCACAGCTTTTCAGTAAGAGTATAACAAGTTACCTATTTCAGCCATGAGAACTAACTCATAGTTTTGCAAAACTCCAGCTGGTACCAATATACGAAGCCTAAAATAGTTATCGCGGAATTAAGAATAATATTAAAGTTATGGAATGACAAACTTATTGAAGACATATATAGCAATGAAGTAGAAATCAAGCTAAAAATGGGGGGGGGGGGGGGGGAGTGTAGTAGATTAGATACCCCCCCTCGTAGTTTGTATACCCTGTTTTCCTCGAGTGGGTTCTGGGGTTCTACTATGGGGGAAACAAAACAAAAGACCCACTGTTTCCCCAAAAAAGCATGCCGTAGAAGTCGACTCACTGGGGGTTCCTTTCTAAGACGAAGTGCGTCGGCCTGAGAGGCAAGGAACCAACAGGCTGCATACAAATAAGCCAGATATGTCAAACGGATGTGCACAAAACACTCAGGTTCTAGAACAAGACTAACGTCCAGCAGTGGACACACAACTAGAACCTTCTGTCTGAGATTACAGCCGGTGAACGCGAAGAAGAAGAAGTGTACCCTGTTGTAAAATGCGTATGTAGCACTACATAATAGGGAAACATATCCGTTAATCTATGTTTTATCATCACTTTGGTTTCAGAAAGAGAACACTGACAGCGGCCATGGATATCTTGGTTAAGATAGCCAACTGCGCTCTCCGTTTGCTTTACGAAGGGATTCACTTGACTTTCCACACCTCAGTGGCGGCGGTGGCGGGTATGACAGAAGTGGTGCTAATTGGCGCTAGAACGATGCACTATGTGATAGAGAAGGTCTTCAGTGCCCTGCATTACTGCTTGTTTGGCATCTTGGGTTACGACTGAATCGGAGGCATTTAATCATCTGTGTTTGCATATCTTGGGTTGTCACAGAATTTGAAGCATTTGTGAATCTTTGCTAGATTTTTTGGGCAATGATTAAACATTGAACGGGATATTATTGAATAACTTGCTACACGTTTGAAACATTTCACAACTTAATTGAACAAGTGGTTATTCCTGCACGACACAGACAATTCATACTGGAATATTACCGTGAATTATTTCAGACAGTTTTCCGTTCTGAAATTATGTAAAGCAACAGAACAATGACGGGTAGCTTCTTGACTGTAGTTTTTTTTTTTTTTTTTTTTTTTTAGCAGAGAGCGCAGTGGAGTGAGACTTTAGTTCGTATTGACTATTCAAAGTTTCAGTCAATTATAACTAATTGTTTGTGGTGACTACACACTTAAGCTAATATAGCTTTCATTTTGACGTTACACACTGTTGATACAAACATTGGGTGACTGACAGCAGTACTCAAACAAAGCATAGACACACATCGTATACTATGTAAGCGAATTCTGGGATCATTACATTCTCAGCTGTGTGTCACCTTATGGCATAGAATATAATTCTTGAATATTGCTTACGGTGAGAAATATAAATCAACGGAAAGTATGAGAAGATTCAAGTCGAACAAAGAGGACGTAAATCTCCCGGTAGACGATGTGTCTCTGGGAGACGTTGAGAAGGACATTAAAGACCTACAGTCTTTTATTGCGAACATAAAGTCCGAACAAGATGAAAGAAATGAGGATAGTAACGCAGTAAAAAGCACGCCCCCGTCAAAGCCCCGAGTGAAAAAACCATATATGCGTGAAGATTTCGAGTCAAAACGACAAAGGGACCTACTTCTGTTCGATTTTCCCCAGGTAAACAATAAAGTAGAAGATATCAGAGATACGCTCGTTCAAGACTATATCAGAAATCTGGCGTCAATGAACCCAGAGGAGGCTTTGGGGAGTGGGAGTTTAGATGTTCGTAATACTGACGCGCTAAATGAGATTTCATTGCAGGATGAAAGAGAACATTCGGGGCTTCAGTATCCAGAACACATAGTAGAAAGAAGTGAAAAAATTTTTCGTGATGGTAGCAACGAACGTGTTGCAGAGCCAAATTCAAGAATACCAGGACACACTTTTCATTCAACTTATGAAACAGGCAGAGGACATGGAAGTCAGTATGTACATTCTCAGCACGAAAGAAAACCCGAAATGCCCACCAGCAAGAATGTAAATAGAACCAAACTGAAAACAGAGAAAAAAATAACAAACTCTAGAGAGGATAAAATACCAAAGATGCCTCGCAATCAGGGAGACAGCATCCAAAGCGGCATTGGGACAGCCAAAAAAGGACACAGGTCAAAACTGTCCGACGCAACTGTCAGCTCCGGTGAAGAAAGAAAAGCACCGCATGTAGATAATAATGGGAAAGGTTTGATTCACGACGCCAAGGGGATTAGAAAAATCAACAAACTCATTTCCAGAATGCACAGTCGACAAAATTATGATCCGCCAGGCAAACATCAGACACGCAGGGCAGAGACTGTGAAAGGTGCTGAAACCTCAAAAACTCAAGGAGCATCGAAGCACAAAAATACCGTCAGCGTCCAGAAAAGAAGGGGTAATAAGTACAGGAAACAAAACTCTCGCGGGAGATCTCACCCCAATCCACGCCGACCTCCCCCTCGGAGGCCATATCAACGTAAGTATTGCAGTCAGAAGTAGATTATATGTGCTTGTTTTCCAGAATATTACGGCTTGTGGACTTCTCTTAATGCACGGGGTTTTAACCGACACAGCTCGCTCTCTGTTTACAGAGCCGTGGGTCGCCTAGCGAGAACATCACACAGAAAGACATCTGTAAGTAAAGGACCCTTTCCCACGCTTTTGGGCATATATATATATATATATATACACACACACACACAATCACACATACAGAAACCATGAGTTGTAAACCCTTTGGCTCGGTACCATAGATATTGCAACCCCTCGGCCTTGATCTAAAAACAATTACCATAAATCTCGGACCACAAGGAGTTTGTAATCCAGTTGCTGGAGCGATACCCGTGTGAAAGGGTCGTTCGACCCACAAAAGGGTCGCTACCTACAGGTTGAGAACCGCTTTCCCTAGAAGCACCCATAGCAAGATGAACGGTACGTCTGGTCAGCCCGGCGCCAAAGAACAGTAACTGGTTCCAATTTAAGATGTCAGCCGAGACGAATTGTAAACGTCAATGACAGTCGAAACACCATTCGCAGTCGTTTACCTGAATTCTGACTCGTTGCTCGACATCCTGCAGTCAAAATCGCTCTTAGTCCTGCGCATCATAGAGGCCGTGTTGCTTGGTGTCGCGAGCACATCCTATGGACAAGGCAACGATGGAGTCAAGTTCTCGTTTTTGCTGGATATTCAGTGATGTCAGGATTCTAATTTGAAGACGACCAGGAGAGCAATCTACTGGTGACATAATCCAAGACATAAGTCGTTATCGTAGGTTCTGTTATGGTCTGGGGATGCTTCTATGGACCCGGCATGATCCGTGTCTACATAATCTAAGGCAACTTGGCCTGTCCAAATACCAGAACGAAATCTTGGGACCAATTGTTCAGCCAGCTCTGGAGGCCATAGGTGGTTATATCATCTCCCAAGATGATAATGCTCGACTCCGTCGAGCTCGTGTGGTGAATAACTTTATTCAGCAACATGTGATCAACACGACGGCGTGACCAGCTCATTAATCTCTGACCTTTCTCCGAGTCATCACTTTGGAATGTCTTTGGTCGAAGACTGACAACAACCCATCCCATGCCAATGGATGTTGCACAGCTGACTGCATTTCTGCTTCGTGAATAGCAACCTATTTCTCAGGATACTGTTTAGACCCTTAAGGACTCGATGCTTCTTCGTTGTCTTGAATGCCTTGCTGCAAACGGTGGCTATACCCAACATTAAAATGTCTAATTGTTCAAAATCTTTTGTGCGACTTATGAACTGGTGGCACAATTCACAGCTTCGTTGAGTTTGAATTTGGTTTTCATTTCTTTACGTGACATGTCAATTTGGTGTTCAATAAACGCCGTTTTCATTGATATTATTTACGTTTTTATCAGACTGTTTCTATTGTTTCAACGAACGCTTTTTTAAGTGGCCGTGACTTGTGTAAGTAAAGTAAGTAGAGGACCTTCTCCCACGCCTTATGGGGAAATTTGGCAAATAGGGCTATACTTCTGTTTATTTATCAATTGGCACTCGGTTGGTGATGTTCAACATCTCGCCAATCCTCTATACTTTCCAGGACTGTACCTGGTGCCCATCTGAAGCTGGGTACCTTACAGCCAAGGTCATTTTAAAAAACGTTTCCTACAACAAGACCTAAACCCACAACCTTCCACTCCGCATGGGAGTGTCTAGCCGCTACACCACGTCGACTCCCCCCTTAACTTTTGACGGAAAGTTTTCTTATCCACAGCACCACCAACAACCACCGAGCTGACCACCACAACGACCACCACCACAGAGAGCAGCACCTGGACAACCCAAACAGTGGACAACAGGACCATGCAGGAGATCGTGGACTCTGGCGTGGATAAGATCGATGTGCCACTCACAGACTCAAACACCGGGCATGCTATTATTCACGGTAAGCAGAAGTGAGCTGGGGTAATGACCGATATCTCAGACCTCGACTGTTATCATAAATGGGTCCCATGTGTTTACTAGGGCCCTATTGTGGGAAAAACAAGAACAGACCCATTGCCTTGCCAGCGAGCATGTGTCATAGGAGTCCACTAATTGAGATTTCCTTAGAAGTCGGAGTGCATCTGCCCGAGTGGCAAGGAACAACCAGCTGCACACACATAGGTCAGTAAAACGGATGTACATGCAAAACTCAGACCCTGGCACAAAGCTAAAGACCAAATGGACGAACAACCAGGAATTTTCCGCCGGACCTAACAGTCGGTGAGTTTAAAAAAAAAAAGAAGAAAAAAAAAAGATAATAAATGCACCGTTCTCATTTTCAGCAGCCTGTTCGGAGTTCTAATTTTGCTGGTACAAATAGCAGTCGAGTCTGATTTACCTCCCTCGGTAACTAGAGGTAGTATCATTGTCAACTGAGGTGAAAAAGAACAACAGTTCTTGTCGGGTCAGGATAGGGCACACTATAACAAACTTTACACGGAGCCGACATTATATAATAAATCTTTTTAGAACGGGAATATTTTCCAAAACGACTGACAGTTATAAAAGAAATACAATTTTTTTTTCGCACGTGTCGCCGACAGGTCGGCTGACGTAGTGCTAGCATTCTGCTGGGTTTTTTTTTTTTGGGGGGGGGGGGGGGGGGGATATTTAGGTAGCTACATTGTCATGCTACCAATGGGGTCCCTAACAAAGAGCACAGGAGAAAAAAGATCACGACGTGCGAAATGAGATGCTTACGTAAGGCTACCAATGTCACAAGGAGAGACAGAGTTCGAAACGAGAACATTAGATCAATTGTAGGAACCACACCATGCCTGCAATACATAAAGAAGCAACAAATAGAGTGGTTTGGCCAATTGATGCGAATGCAAACCGACCAACTGCCTCTACGAGCATACAACGAACAGCACTACTGCCCTAGAGCAAGAGGCAGACCGAGAGTACGATGGATAGACAATATATCAGAGATCCTGAGGCAACACGGACTAACAACAACACGTGCAACACACCTGGCCCAGGATAGAAAACTGCAACTCCCCACTACGCTGTAAGGCAATTGTGGACAAGACAAGACAAGACAAGACAAGACAAGACAAGACAAGACAAGACAAGACAAGACAAGACAAGACAAGACAAGACAAGACAAGACAAGACAAGACATTGTCATGTACGGCGTCTCACTTGCCTAGCAGCAATGTAGCATTCGAATCATATCGACGCTTCCTGATAAGAAGAACATCTTTAGCGGACCACAGGGAACCACAAGTTGAAGATCAGTGCTCTCAAGTACGTACTATTTCAGATAGAAAGTACTAAAGCAAAACAAAACTGTGTAACCGAAAGAGACAAGAGAGAAGAAAGAAGGTAAACGCTTTCCTGTTGTTCTCCCTTTCGTTTTGTTTGCCAGTGGTTTTCAGATGAGAAAACCATAGGCCTTTTTAGGGCTGTGGTGCGAAGCGTGTCCTCCACTGATCCATACAGCCTGGTGTCAACGGGAACGCCAGCTGGTCAGATCCGAGACCTCTCCACGACATGTTCAGCGCATGTCTAAAGCACATGTTCCATATCTTGTGGGGCCTGTGAACACTGGCACATATCTGCCCCCAGCCTTTCAATATCCTGTACATATTGCTGCTGAGTACATTGTGTCCAGTTCGCAGTCTAAAAGCAGTGGTCTGTCGCTTTCATATGAGTAGGTTGACTAGGTCTTCAGGACTGTGTTCCGGGTGGGAAGTGTCCCAACGGGTCCTGATGACTGCTTTGATCTTGGTAGTATTTTTCTCATAAGTTCATCCGGTATCTGCCTCTTCATTGGTACTTCCGTTTTTTTTTAAAGCTGGGCTCTCATGTGGAAGACCCAGCTTCGAATCCTCGGTAGGGTCATGCATTTTTTTTTAAATTATGGAAGGTGCAAAAATAAAATAAAATCCAAGCCTCTTCGGTCATCGGCGGTACCACTAGCCACAGAGTCCTAAATCCTCAGACTTAAAGATCCCCCGCCGCTATTCTAAACCGCAATAGGGGCAAATACAGACAGCATTTAGAAGTTGTTCAGAGTCTTCTCTCTTTCTTTTCCCGTAATATTTCAGTTGTCTGCGTTCCATTGGAGCATCGTAGACAGTTTGAAACGAACCTCTGTATATATTTCAGCATGGTATCTTTCAATTTCCGGTTTCTTTGTTTTCCCCCAATAAGGTCGTCGAGACATTGTGATGGCAGGAGCCATCATGGGAGGAATCGGGCTGCTACTCATCATTCTCTCTTTCGTCTACATGTTTATCAATAGGAGGAAAACGTAAGTTATATCTATATTGCTCTCTCTCTTTCATGTACATGTATATCAATAGGAGGAAAACCTAAGTTATCTCTATGTTGTCCTCTCTTTCATCTACATGTTTGTCAATAGGAGGAAAACCTAAGTTATTCTCTTTGTTGTCCTCTCTTTCGTCTACATGTTTGTCAATGGGAAGAAAACGTAAGTTATTCTCTTTGTTGTCCTTTCTTTGGTCTATGTGTTTGTCAGTAGGAGGAAAACGTAAGTTATTCTCGTTGTTGTCCTCTCCTTGGTCTGTGTGTTTGTCAATAGGAGGAAAACGTAAGTTATTCTCGTTGTTGTCCTTTCTTTGGTCTATGTGTTTGTCAGTAGGAGGAAAACGTAAGTTATTCCCGTTGTTGTCCTTTCTTTGGTCTATGTGTTTGTCAGTAGGAGGAAAACGTAAGTTATTCTCGTTGTTGTCCTCTCCTTGGTCTGTGTGTTTGTCAATAGGAGGAAAACGTAAGTTATTCTCGTTGTTGTCCTCTCCTTGGTCTGTGTGTTTGTCAATAGGAGGAAAACGTAAGTTATTCTCGTTGTTGTCCTCTCCTTGGTCTGTGTGTTTGTCAATAGGAGGAAAACGTAAGTTATTCTCGTTGTTGTCCTCTCCTTGGTCTGTGTGTTTGTCAATAGGAGGAAAACGTAAGTTATTCTCGTTGTTGTCCTCTCCTTGGTCTGTGTGTTTGTCAATAGGAAGAAAACGTAAGTTATTCTCGTTGTTGTCCTTTTTTTGGTCTGTGTGTTTGTCAATAGGAGGAAAACCTTGGTTATTCTCGTTGTCGTAATCTTTTTGGTCTATGTGTTTGTCAACTGGAGAAAAACTAAGTTTTCTCTGTGTTGTTCTCTCTTTCATTCACATGTTTGTCAATAGTGGGAAAGAGTAAGTTTTCTCGAAGTTTTTATTTCTTTTACCTACGTGTTTGTCAATAGGAGATAAAAAATTAAGTTTTCGCTATGTTGTTCTTTCTTTCAACTATTTGTTTTTTAATAGGAGGAAAGTAAGTTTTCTCAATGTTGTTCTCTCTTTCGTCTATATGTTTATTAATAGGAGGAAAAAGGTAAGTTTTCTCAATGTTGTCCTCTCTTTCGTCTATATGTTTATTGATAGGAGGAAAAAGGTAAGTTTTCTCAATGTTGTTCTCTCTTTCGACTACGTGTTTTTTAATAGGAGGAAAGTAAGTTTTCTCAATGTTGTTCTCTCTTTCGTCTACATGTTTATTAATAGGAGGGAAAAGGTAAGTTTTCTCAATGTTGTTCTCTCTCTTTCGTCTACATGTTTATTAATAGGAGGAAAAAGGTAAGTTTTCTCAATGTTGTATTCTCTTTCGTCTACATGTTTATTAATAGGAGGAAAAAAGTAAGTTTTCTCAATGTTGTCCTCTCTTTCGTCTGTATGTTTGTCAGTGTGGCCTTTTAAAAATAAATTTCGTTCAATAGGAGGAAAATGTAAATCTTTCCCTTTCACTTTTCTTTCATTGTTAGTAAGTGGTTTTCGGAGATTTATATATATATATAAAGGTTCATTTTCCACGCCTTTAGGTAATATAGGGCTTGACCTATATTTTATAGACCAATCGGCACTTGATGGGTGATGTGGTCAGCACCACGCCGACCGCCTTTACTTCCCAGGACTGCACCTGGTACCCACTCAAGGTTGGGTCGACCTGGGAGTCAAGGTTATTTTTGAAAATATGTATATTTCCTTACGGACTTCAGCTTGATAGAGTGACAAAAAGTGACTCAAAGAGCCAATTTTCGTCATTTGAATCCAACAGGAGCAAATTATTACAGTCCCGTTTAACCGTATATATCCGTTACACTGGGGTCATCTGACGGTTAGGATGTAACAAACTGCCCTAAACCTGTGTTGGTTTGGTCGGGGTTGAGGGTGGGGTAGGGGGCGGCTCATTGGTATCTAATGTCAACCAGAATTGTAGACAAATCTTCTTATTGTGCTCTCTCTCTCTCTCTCTCTCTCTCTCTCTCTCTCTCTCTCTCTCTCTCTCTCTCTCTCTCGTGCCTTCATATTTGTAGGTAGGGGGCAGCATGGTCTTGAGGCATGATCTCCGCCTCGAGTGCTACCACCTCGAGTGCTAGAGGTTCCGGGTTCAATCCCCTGTAAGGGCTTGGATTCTTTCACGTAGACTTGGACTTCTAGTAATTTCCCCTGGCCTCTGGGTAGTGAGATCGGACGCCCGTGTGCATTGTTGCGCACGTTAAAAATCCCTTGGCAGTTGGAGATCGAAAATAGTAGCCTAATGGCGCTGCCCCGGGCAAAATTTTGTGTTATAAACCTAGCCAAAGTATTTCAGGGTCCTCGCGAGTGCTACAGATCCTGTGCACTATGCTGAGCTTCTTCGGACTCAAACTTGAGTTAGAAGAAGAACGGAGCACTTATGGGTTACACCTGTGTGCCATGATGATCCGTTGCTCAGAACCTCAAAACCTCATATTTGTAGGTAAAAATGATGTATGTTTTCCTCGTTGTGAACTCGTATATCTAAAGCAAACACATACGAACGCACAAACACGCATACTGACATACAAACCTAGTCCCCATGGACGAACAGACCCAAACATCTTCCCTTCATTAGTTACAGAATGGTTCGTTATTTCCCGTGTATTTGACAGGCAGCAGAAGATCACAGGCACTGCTAAAAACAACAATAAATCTTACCAGAGATTCGGAACTGCGGAGGAGACAGCGAAACTCACAAAACCTCAGCACAGTTTGTTCCCTTTGTAAGCTTGTCTGTCTGTGTACATTAGTGCCACCTTCCAAATCTAGTTTTCTTTCCTGCCTTTCCCACCTCTAAGTCTGCCTGTTGTGTCTGTCTTCCCGTCTGTCTGACAGTGGCCAGGCCACTTAGTCGTTGCTCCAGAGTTTACAGCTGGTGAACGCGAAGAAGAAGAAGAAGAAGAAAAGAAGAAGAAGAAGAAGAAGAAGAAGAAGAAGAAGAAGAAGAAGAAGAAACTGACATTTTCAATTGCAAAAAAAAAAAAAAAAAAACAGATTTTACTATTTATTATTGCTGTTCGTATACTGTTAAAAAACGCATACTTATCTAATGGCCCGTTTTTACTAGTTGAAGGGAAGCCCGTACGCCTAGAAACTATCGATTTTCTAGATGCAAGAGAAGGGTGTATTGATTAGTTGAACTAATCTATTCTTATGTGCAATTTCCCATTTATTAAATTACACGGATTTTGAATATCAAAAATATGACAAAAATTGTGTTTTCTGTCTTTTTTTTTTTCTACCCCCCCCCCCCCCTCCTTTTTTTTTAAAGTAGTAAGCGCCATTGCATAATTGCATTTTTGTTTAAACAAGGTATTTATTACAAATACACCACTCGTTTATCTCTGGGCGAGTACGTAAAGCTTGGTAGGTATTTTAACCAAACAAACAGAACATTTGCTGAATGCTTACGCTACTTATATAGAAACTGTAACGTGAGAAAGCTATCAGTTACTAGTGATGCGATACTTCAGTATAATCGTTACCTGCTAACTCTTATAAATGTGACTGAACACCCCCCACCCCCTTTCCCTCCGCTGCTATCTACCTGCTTTCGTGTGTGTGTGCTTGTTTCCCAACCTATGTCTTTATGCCTGTCTACATTCCAACCTTTCAGTGAAAGGTTTGTTCTGGTTACAGGAGAGCGGCGATATTTGTTTTATCAAATGGTATTCAACGCCAAATGGTTTGGCCATCTCGTTAGAATGCAGCAATAACAACTACCAACACAAGCGCTAGGCGTGAAAAGATCTGATGTGAAAGCAAGAGGTCATCCTCGACACTAAAACGGCAAATTTTGAAATTGCTGATGATAACAAAACCGTGATGGCCGCATAGGCGTAGTGATTAGCATGCTAGTATGCCCGTCCCTCAAATGCACGTTAAAGAAACTAGGTACATCAAAATGTTAGAAGAAGTCAAGGCGACCGACCTACTGCACCGCAGCTTATGGAAAAATGCATGGATAGAGCTAGGAAAGAAGAAAAACCACGCTGTTAGGTCCTAGGTAGGAGGATAATGAATGTCTGGAGCTAACCCGATTACATGATTGCGGCGTGCGTGCCGTCATCAAGGTCAAGATATACAGCATCGCATTGGAACAATAAGTGCAGGTACACTGGGGAGGCTGCTGCATCGGAGGACTAAGCACGCATAGGCATGCCCAACGTGCAATGCCGTCAGTTATGATATTTTAACATGAAAACCCCATAGTGTTTCCGCGAAAATAATAATGACTGTTATATTAATTTTTGCCTACAAAATGCGTTGTGGCTTAATTTCGAGTGACGTCGATATTTATTTATGTCCACAATTGTAATTTATTTTATTTTAATACATTCATGTAATTCATGGTTTGAGGTGGGGGCGGGGGGGGGGGTAGGGGTGGGGGGCTTAATTTCGAGTGGGGGGGGTTTGTGGGGGGTGGGGGGGGGGGGGGGGGGGTACCTCGACATAACTCTGCACCAAATCCCACCCTGATCAGATCATTGTGCGCAAGTGTGCAACATTGGTATCTGGTATCTATATTCCGACTGAGCATTCAGCAGTAAATGACACATTCCAACTGACGAAATTAACTAAGGCTTATCTTGGGGGCACGGAAAATGATTCTGCACTTGTATTTGACAAATCTTTCTTGCATTGCAGGTCTTCTGATGAGGATACAACTGAGGAGTCGGACGAGGACAGTACGAATAACTTGACTGGGATAAAGGGACCGTCTGGTAAAAGGAACATTCGATGAGCCATTATACAGCTTACAAAGCACTCAGAAATCCGTTAAATTAAAACTCTCTCGACTGTGGAGAGAGTAAGGGCTGATGTAGACAGTATTTGGTCTTGTCTTCAACGAAAGGCAGACTTTTTTTTTTTTAGATCGTAGTTATCTTAAAGAACTATCCACAACACCTTCTCCCCCTTTTTGCTGTTTCTCTATAGCAGTGGTTCTCAGCCTATGGGTTGCGACTCTTTTGTGGCTCGAACGACCCTTAAACAAGGGTCGCATAAGGCCATTGGAAAAAACATATTTACTAACGGTGTGAAGAAGCAACTGTATCAAATGGTCGCGGCATTAGGAAGGTTGAGAACCACTGGTCTATAGGATTCTGGGGTGAAAAATAGGCAAGGGGAAAAGGGGGGGGGGTAAGGGGGAACTTAACAAGGCTTTGTTAAAAATAAATTGATGACACAAATGAGAAAATGAGGATAATCGATGCCGAAATATAGGTCTACTTATATTCTTCTTCTTCTTCTTCGCGTTCACCAGCTGTACACCCTGGCGGAAAGTTCTGGTTGCTCGTCCACTACTGAACTGCAGTCCTGTCCAGAACCTGAGTGTTGCGTGTGCATCAGTTTTACAGATCTCATTCTCTTGAATACAGACTGTTGGTTCCTTGCCTCTCCGGTAGATGCACTCCGACTTCAAAGGAAGCTCCCCAATTAGTCGACTCTTACGACATGTAATTGGGGAGGGAGTGCTTCTATTCTTGTTTTCCCCACAATGGGGCCCCGGAACCCACACGGGGGTATTTATATTCATCAGCTGTTGGCTCAGAGAGTGTAGACATACAGAGATTTAAACCTAAATAATTGTCAGAAACTACAACCCGTTGACAAAGAAAGTTGGAGACAAGGAGAGCACATTTGCCTGTGATTGCGCTCTTGATGCTAGAGTGGGGTGGTTGCAATGTATTCGGCAGTTGCATTTCTTGCATCTGGGCAGTGAGCAAAAGGGATCGGGGTAGCCGTTAGTGTATTGGGGAATGGGGTGAAGTGGAGAGCAGGGGGGCAGCGCTTCTATAGAGGTGAGTTTGGAGTAGGTGTCTAAGTATTAGTTTTGAATGTGTAACTATAGATTTGCGTTTGGACTGGGTAGCTAAAATTTTTAGTTTGGACTGTTTACTGTGGATCTGAGTTTGGACTGGGTAGCTAAAATTTTTAGTTTGGACTGTTTACTGTGGATCTGAGTTTGGACTGTTTAGCTATTGAACTGAGTTTTGAAGGTGTAGCTGTAAATTTTAGTTTGAATTGGGTAATTATAGATGTGAATGGGAAAAGATGAGCTTTTGTGTAGGATAACAAAGTGGACCAGTTTAGACGGGTTCATGATATGTGTGTATGCGTAGAATAAAGCCAGATGTGAGCTTACACCGGGCAACAGTATGTGTGAGTTCGACTGAGTAACAATATGTGTGAGTTCGACTGAGTAACAATATGTAACTTCGCACTGCGTAAAGGTGAGTTTTGATTGGGTAACGATAAACGAAAATGTGCACTGGCAATGAGTGATGTCAGTTGAGGGCGGGTAGCCTTCTGCAGTATTTTCTCCCTCCTAGCTTGCGGTCTAAAAAAAAAACTGATACCCATTGACTCAGAGAATAGGACCGCCCAACTACCACAGTCCGCGGCTCTTTCCTCTTATTTCACCACATTACGCCAGCTTGGAGATTTGGTAGAGAAATCCCCAGACCGCCCAATCGTATCGGGGGGGGGGGGGGTTAGGCTTAGTAGTAGTCGTTATTCATTTAACACTAGCCCTAACCCTAACACCCCCCCTCCTCTCCCCACCCCTCCACATACTAGGGATTTCACTACCAAATATCGAAGTCGGCGTGGTGTGGTGAAACAACAGAAAAGAAACCCGACCCTTGTACACCACGTAAAAGAAAATTGTAAATACGGGCATTAATGGTTATTTTTTCTTTTAGACTTAAAAAGCTACTGTTCGGATTGCGAGTTAAACATGAGAAAATCACGGAAACTCCGTTTAACCAGCAGACGCAGTTGTATTGGATCACCCTACAGTTACGAACTAACGCTGCCCATTGTAGAGGGTTAAATATTATTGCTGCCGGCGTTATTACTCTTTTGCAGCCCACTCTGTTTCTACCATCTAGGCAGGCACAGGAAAGTCTGAGACCCTGAGATTACAACATCTCAGTCTCAAAAGAACCTATAATTGAGGCACCCCTAACGGCCGCATCTGCCGTGTGTAACTTGGAGGCCTATAGGGGTGAGTGCAGTGACTCTCCGCGCTCTGTCATTGCAGCCTTCTCAGACACGTTGACACAGACTTGAATACAGCAAGCTTGCTCATGAACACACGTTGAAAACAGTTGGCCGTTAACAAATGTAGGTTCATTGTTACAGCGATGTTTCTCTCGGTCAGTGCGCTTGAGGATGGTTTTCTAGGCAATCTTTGTGGGACCGATGACATAGGACAGGCAGTGGGACCTGCCGCGGCATGAACGGTAGGGGAAGGAACTCTCGACGTGTGGGCAAGTTCGTGATAAGTACCAACTGTGTCTCTAGCATCAAAGAGCTGATGCGCCACTGTTCTGGGAAGAATCATTTACTTATTTATTGCATTTTCGCCTTTTAACAAGCTTTTAGTGAACAACTGTGTTGAGGCAGCAGAGATGTGCTTGAAGGACGAATGATGAAAACACACGGTACTGATAACGAGAGTAATAAGGATGTTTTGAAAGAAACTGGCTCACGAAGAAACTGATGGCCCACATCAGGAGGAGACAATCAACATTCTTTGTTCAGGTCAAAAGATGGAAAAAAGAAAAACTAGTAGTTCATCATAGAGTACATCATGATTGCACAAATGTTGGAGGAGGAAAAGAGGGGGAGAGACGGCAAAGAAAAGATGCTAAACAGTATTACTTCGTGACATGGAAGATATTATGTGTCAGAACTGAATGAAAGTACACGAGACAGAAGGTTGGGGGTGGACATGACTACTAACGCCACACGGCATGGACTATAAGAAGAAAATCAAGGGTTTCCTCTATACTCGAAGTTCCTTAACTTTTTTTTTACCACACAGCTCAACATACATTCATTGGTTAGACGAAAGACAGTAGGCATTTCTGACTTCTGTGAACGCAGCAGGAAGGAGTCTACCAATCATCCAACAACTGTAATCACATTACACGTTCTCACTTCTGTAAAACATTAATAATAAAGGATAATTTGAGAAGCTGTATAATGATAGTAGTTGTTCTTGTATTGTTGTAATTGAATAATAGCATCTGTGCACGGAAACAATGTGGTGTCCGGGGGTAGGAGGGCGGGGGTGGTTGAGTGTACACCTGTGTGTGCTTTCTTTTCCTCTTTGAAACATGCCTGGTGATGTCGGTATCCAAGAGTGTTGAGTTGAGAATTGACATCACAGCACTCGAGTCATTCCCATGCATGCCCCGTCCTCATCTTTAGCAGCCAGCGCAGAGTTCAAAGGCTGATGGTACCTGTCACAATCTGGTTGTATGTCCGTCTCGCCTTTACCCTGAGTGTAGTGAATTGGTCAGGCCCTCTGGTTACACCCAGGTGCCTCATTCTCTCCCGGGCATAATCTTCTTTCTCTATTGATTCCGTTGCTTGTTCCCAAAAGGCCTTGACCATATCTGCCTTGGTATGTATCATTTCACCACCCAGTGGTGCAGATCCAGCCAATCTGTCTGCCTGCATATTACCCACCACGCCAATATGGCCCGGAGAAAAGGTCTAAAGTATGCTCACTACCCGTGACCTCCACAGTGTAGCTTGCCACTCTGCTCGAACCATACCTGTTTGTAACCCTTCTCAGCATGCTTTCAGAGTCTGTTACAATTACGACATGTGTATGCATCTTGTTCTCTAGCCAGAGGAGAGCTGCAGTTACCGCCTTCACCTCCATTCTCATGCTAGATGTTGTTTTGTCGTACGCTAGGATGTCTTCCACTAAAGATTTTTCATTGGCTTTGGCTACGAACCTCCAGGCACTTCTCTTTCCTCTCACCACCGAACCATCTGTATAGATAATCAGATCATTTGAGCGTGAATCGTCGTGAATCAACTGTTGGACTTCCACCTCCGCAGCATCCGCAGGCCACTCTCTGCACACCCGGCCCAATGTGATCATAACCCTACACAGGTCAGACTTTCCTGCTGGTACTCTGACCCACTCCTCTCCTCGCACAATGTTCTCTAGCATGCATACTTGTCTTCTTGTGTCTTCTGCTTGAACCATCCACGATTTTCCCCTTTTCAGCCTCTGACGCTTACCTGCAGCCAAAACTTCATACAGAGGGTGTTCTTTTTCTGCAACTACGTTGAGGTACGACTTAGCTTGCAGTACCTTTAGCCTATCTGCAATTGTCGGCAATGCAAGGATGTATCGCGTGAACACAATTGGGGTGTCTCTTGTACATCCCAGAATCACATGCATAGCTTCATTCTGTGTGTGCTCCAGTTTCCCTAGCTGAGACAGTGAGTAACCCCAATCCATAATCAATCATGTCGTAAGAGTCGACTAATTGGCGGCTTCCTCCGACGTCGGAGTGCATCTGCCTAAGAAGCAAGGAACTAACAATCTGCATACAAATAAGCCATATCTGTAAAACGTATGTACACGCAACACTCAGTTTCTGGTTCAAGACTTCTTCTTCTTCTTCACTTCCTCTTTTACCGCTGTGGGTGTCGAGGGAGATATAAGGTTCTGTTTCTAGCTCTTCTGGCTGCCTCGACTATAGGCACATCGTGCTAGTTTCTCTGATGTTATCCTTCCATCTTGTTCTTGGTGGTACAAGACTAAAATCCGTAAATGGGCGAACAACCAGAACTTTCCATAAGGATTTATAGCCGGTGAACTCAAAGAAGAAAAACAAGAAGAAGAAGAAGAAGAGAAAGAAGAAGAAGAAGAAGAAGAAGAAGAAGAAGAAGAAGAAGAAGAAGAAGAAGAAGAAGAAGAAGAAGAAGAAGAAGAAAAAGAAGAAGAAGTACAAGACTATGTTTGTTCTATGCAGAATCCCCCCCTCCCCTCCATTTCCCCCAATTTTGCTTTTATTAACCTGTTCTGCAGCTCATCACCCCCCCCCCCCCGCCACCCCCCGACATGTCTATAGATTGAAATGGAAGAGAGGCTTAATTCGTTCCAGAATCATACTCGTTAAGCGAAACACTCGTTATGCGAAACAATTTTTCTCACATAAATTAATGTAAAAAACAATAATGAGGTTCAACGTCGAAAAAAAATACTCACAAAATGCTATGTATAAAGTTAATTCAAAGAAAATTATATACATATTGGTGAGGAGAGTGAATCATCATCTTTTCTTTAAACGCGGAATGAACCCACCTGGAATGCGAATTCGATTTGCAAAAAGAAAAAGTCGAAATAATTATGATACGTAGCTAATTATTTTTCTAATTGAAAAATGTCCAGAGACATTTGTTTTTGCAGACGCTTCAAAATTTTGCGAAAATGCGACACAGCATTATTATTACATACATTTTAACAGCGCATAACTACTTCCTTATTATGGTGATGTTTCTCAATGAAAGGCAACAGTTTCTTATGCTTTCAGCATTTCTCTTATTTCTCCTCCTCTGACAAACTCTCCTCCAAAACTTCTTGCTGTGAAACACAATACAACCCCATAAGCTCTTCCACAAGCTTTTCGATATCACTGTTATCCACCTACAGTCCTATGATAGTGACCAAAGACACAATCTCGTTGACTACAGGTTTCACAGGTACTGTGTCTCGAACCCCTCAAAGTCAAAACTCGACAAAGCTCTCCGGCCAAAGCTTCTTCCAAGAAGAAGTTAGGGTTCTCTTGGTAACCCCTTCCCGCGCCTTGTCGATCATCTTGAGGCAGGCAACGATGTGGAAGTGATTTCTTCAAAACTCTCTGAGAGAAAGTTGGTCCTTTCAGTCACCTGAAAACAATGCTCGAATAGTGCTTTATTGTAGAGCTTCTTAAAGTTAGAAATAACTTTCTGGTCCACGGGCTGGAGTAACGGAGTGGTGCTGGAAGGCAGAAACTGGATCTTGATGAATCTTGAAGTTTTCTTCAGGGAGGTCATCTTGTAGGCCAGGAGGATTCAAGTACATATATCACAATATAACACAAGTTTGAGAAAATGTGAGATCACAAGCGACACTACAATGCTACTGGAACGTGTGCTAAACACAGACTGATATAACAAGCGCACAATCCGGGACTTCCCCTCTCCTCGCCACTTGTTAAGCAAGTCATTTTTTTTTTACAATTTGTTTTGCTCATTTTGCGAATTATTCCTTATGAGAGGTGCTCGTTAAGCGAGGTTCTACTGTATTTGTATAGTGCTCTCATTGCCCTCATATATGCAGGAGTTGCCCCTGGATAACCCGACTAGTGCAACAGCGTGTAGACTGATCGATCCCTTATTCCAGTTCGAGTCGATCATGTTCTCTATGCTTCTATTTTTTTTTAAATATCAGCGAAGCTGCCAGCAGCATTCAATTTTATTTATGGTCTGGTTTATTTGTGGCAAGAGTATTGGTTGAGATTGTGGTATATGTGCCAGATCGATGACATTGTGTCTCTAGAGGGTTAAACTGTATACTCATAATTGTCTGGGTCCTATTGCAGTCTGCTTGGCGTCCTGATGGCGTGTCTTTCTTTGCACTGATTGTGATAAGCATCCTGAGATCAGCGGGGAGCAACCCACAGATTCGGGACTTCGATGTTTGTTTGAGTATCCAGAAGCCATGAGTTGTTAACCCTTAGGCTCGGTATTATGGATATCGCAACCTTTCGGCCTTGATTCCATTGTAAATACCGTAAATCTGGAAGAAATGTGGCTTTTCTGCCTACCCCCGGGAGTGAACTCGGACCACAAGGAGTTCGTCACCCGGTCACCGCGCAATCCGGTTTAGCCAACTATGCTAGAGAGCCGGGCATCAGGACTTCGATAATTATGCAAATATGTACATTCTTCTTCAGCACGTTAGACACCTTTACTGTTGTTTCATCTGGACACTTGAAAAAAAAAGCATGCATCAGGCATGACATCCCCTATTCTTTTCCTACCCTCTGAGGAGTCGGGTCAGTGGTAACGGACATCTAAATCTTTCTGCCAAACAGTCGGACTTCTGACTGTCGGATATCTGAGACTTTGCTGTGATACCATAGATAGGTAGGTAGGTAGCTGTACCCCACCAGGACATCACAGAAGCGAAAAACACCCGGTGACACAAAGTGCTACTATGCGGATGAGGATCACCCGTGGAGAGGTCACAAAAACCCCTTTCAGCCGCTAGACCATATCTATGCTCTGTCTATATTCAGGGCCCCGACAGAAGCCAGGGTGAGGCTTCAAACAAAACAATTTGCATCCCACTAGGGGACGACCATAGGGCATGTTTTTGACGGATATTTGAGCCTAATCAGCTGGCTGACAGCGGCAGATTGTCGTTGCGTACCTCAACGAGGTGACGAAGACGTTGAGGGTCGTACAAAGGCTGTACGGAGACAGGGCTGTTCCGCGGAATACCGCTCGCAGGTATTGCTCGTCCAGGCTGTGAGCAAAACTCTTGGTTTAGGATTGAGTCTCAACAATGCATTAGTTCTTTCACTCTACAGACGTTTTAACCGAGGGTTCTCATTTAGTAGGCTGTTTGCGAGGTGAGACTATACAATCACAGCGACCTTAACTTTCCCTCACACCTATGACCGTTATCTAATTCATGTTTTGTTCAATGCTATTTACTACTTAATTTGTGTCACCATGCACCGTGGTAGAGAACGCTGGGGCCCTATGCTATCACGTTTCACCATCCCACATGATCACCCAAACAACGGAATAGCTCTGTGTTCTTGTCCCGCCATATGGCATAGCCATACAGATATTTTAACCCTTTGCCTTCCCCTTGCTGTTTTCTCATCAATCTTGCCAGTCATTACGAAATCTCGAGTGCCTTCTTTCTCATCATCATGTAGCAGGTCCTTTGCAGAACGTCGCTTTCATCACAGTCTGCCTGTAAGAAACTCGGTCTCTTGCCAGTTCTCCCGCCTCATGAACTTTCACACTGAAGGAGTCACTTATATCCTGTGCCCATCTTCGTGTCGGTCGGCCTCTGCCCATCCTTCCTGGTACCATGCCTTCTGCTATAATTTTTTCCAATCCGTCGTGGCGCTTGATATGACCAAAATATTTCAGCTTTCGAGAAAGGATGCTGTTTTTTAGCCAATTTTCCTTGATGTTCAGATCTTATGTCAATATTTCTCATCTTCTTTGTCCAAGATATTCTGAGAATCTTTCTATAGCATTTCAGCTCAAAAGCCCCTATTCTCTTTATTCTTTCTCATAGCATGTCGAAAAACACCGGCTGTCTGCATTTATGCCTTGAACTACGACGTACGCGTTCATTATTTCAAAGAAAGAGCTAATTTTTCATAAATGTTTTCAGAGAACAGAATCGTCATGGACATCAATGAGGGACACAAGGGAGGTTATTCTCATATTGTTTACAACCACCATGCTTGTTTACTAAAATTTGTGGAAGACGTCCCATAGACACTTGTCATTTGACTTGTGTGTTTAACTGGAGTTTAACGCTTGCCAACTTCATCAAGATCCAGGTACATTCAGTGATGGCAGAGGTTGGTGATAGTTCTGGTTTGTGCAAGCTTGATGAACAAGAAATCATATTCATAAGTCCAGATTCGGAAGACGACGAAGACTGCAAAGTGACGCCAACTCGGTTTGTTGTGGATTTATTCATTTTTAAACATTTCCATTTTAAATTAAAAGTTGTTTAATTTTATCAATATTTCATTTGGTTAGTCAACCCATTCTCTCTCTCTCTCTCTCTCCCTCTCTCTCTCTCTCTCTCTCTCTCTCTCTCTCTCCCTCTCTCTCTCTCTGAGCTCTCTGTCTCAGTTCTATCTCCTCTCTATCGATGATTTCCTTCTCTGTTGTCTCTCTCTCGCGCGCTCTCAGCCCAACACATCACAACACATCCAGTTTCACAAAACCTTATTTATTTACAATATGACATTTTTATTGTGGGTCTGTAATCTATTCTTCTTTTGCCTCTAGATCCAGAATTCACTTTGCCTTTTGATAGATAGTCCTATGCCCGGGTCCATCAGCTTATTATTATTTTCCATGTTTAATGTTATGTGTCATTAATTTAGTGCAGTCTTGGCTTGCTATGATATGCAATATTATATATATATTATAAAACTATTAAAACAACTATATTACTGCTATTACTGACAACTTATGAGAAGTGACTGGCCTTATGGATAAGTCGATAAGAACACAAGGCTGTCATGCAGGAGACCAGAGTTCTGTTTGAGTCCTGTGTAACTTACATTCAGAACTTACTGTACTACTGTATCATGGTTGATTTTTTTCTGTCAGGAGCAAAACTTAAAAAATCGTAACTCAGCCTGTGGTGGCAACACATAAATCCTCAGACTTAAAGAGCGCCTTGCCTACACAGCAAAAGTGTTTATTATAAGGAGTATTGGCACATTTTTTTTTTTAATGGCACTGACAAGTTATACATTACAGTCTGTTCTGTTTCAGTAATAAATGTCCAGCTGTTGCGTGTGAAGTCTGCGACTTGTCGCCCTCAAAGTACACTTGCCCCGGATGCAGAATCAGAACCTGTTCAGCGCAGTGTGTCAAGGAGCACAAAGCCAAGCTCAACTGCACAGGGGAGCGGGATAAGACAGCATTTGTAGACTTGCAGGACTATTCAGACATGCACTTACTGAACGGTATGTGTTTGTTTGTGGGTCTGTTGTTCAGAGCCTGTATAAATTAGTTGCTTTTCTTTTACAGGATGTTGCCAAACCAATCCCAGCATTATCTTTGGAGATGTTTGTGATTTCACTCAACAATTTTATTTCAATAATTGGCAGTTGCTTTCTTAGCACTTGGCTCTTAATACCACTGTTGAAACCCAATGCAAGGCAGTCTGCTGAAAAATTAGGCTGAATTATGAAGCACATTTGCGAATCATAGATGTATCTGAAAGTAAAGTAAAGAACCCTGTTCATGTCAAGTGACACACTAGGCATACAATGCTAGGCTTTTATTTTTATAGACCAATTGGCAGTTCAGGGGTTGATGGGTTCAACATCTTGTCAGCTGCCTTTACTTCCCATGACTTTGTACCCCTTTCAAGATGGCGAGACCTGGGAGCCAACATACATGTATATATGTAGTTAAACATTTTTGTGGGCAAACTATTTTGCTAAGAAGCTGGGATATTGAAATCCTCTAGCACAGTGATTCCCAAACTAAGCGCCCCGGGGAGCCGCGACCTCTTCACAGGGGCGCCGTGAAATATTTGAAGATATTTTTTTTTTTTATCTTTTACATATGAATAGTCATACTTTTACTTAGGTTTTGGTGCCGTGGACAAATTTTAATTGAAAAGCGCAACGGCTAAGAAAAGTTTTGGAAACACTGCTCTAGCAGATAATGAATTTCCACGTAGACTTATTTTTAAATAATTGACCGTGACTCCTGGGTTGATCTAGAAATCCAGAAATGGGTGCCAGGAGATATCCTGAGAGCTAAAGGGGGGATCATGATTTCGACCTTATCAACAGAAGAAGAGAATAATAAAATCAATCAGAATTCCACCAAAACTGGCACAAGACAATTACCATATTATACACAGACCGGAGCGAGTCAATGTACACCTTAGAACAGGGCACAGTCAACTTCACAGCCACATATACACAAAATTAAAGATTAGCAAATCAGCCGTGTGCGCATGTGGACTGGCACCTGAGACAACAGATCACAGCCTCCATGACTGTCCCAGATACAAGAGAGACACTGGTGGAAGCCAAACTTTAAGGGCCATTGAGTGAATTACTCAAGAGGGTGAAGTTCATACTAGAGACAGTATTGCAGATATAGATCATTTATTTCAAATTAATGAAAGAAAAAGATAATGATGATTTTGACCACAACACCCGTCAAGAGCCCATAAGTCTATCAAGAATAATGTTCTGCTACTGCCTGGCTCATGTGCCATTGGTGTGAAATAAGGGGCTGTACACATTTTTTGTTTAAATAGCTGATTATTGCTTCTGTTACCAGGGCCCTTGGAGAAAGTGTAGAATAGTCACACCGTGACTTGCATACAGGTCATGAGGCAGCTAAAGATGCCAAGTTTAAAGGTTGGCTACCTGATAATGTTAAAAGCTCCAACCACAGCAGCTAAACAACCTTAAACAAACTCAAAAATTTAAATTAAAAAAAAAAGAGGTAGAGGTCAACCTCTGCTTTGCTTTCTGGAAACTGCCCTCCATCACTGTTCGTTCCTAATGTTTAACATGGCCAAACTACCTCAGCTTTTGGGATGGGTTACTGTTAGTGAGCCAGTTCACTTTGATGCTCAGATCTTGCAGACACCAGATTTTTGTGTTTAGCAGTTATTAAAATCTGCCTCTATGTGGAATTTAATCCAGGACTTTTGAACTGGCAGGTCAGCGTCTAACCAGGGCATGTCATGGTCCTTGAGAAATGTATTGGCTCTATATCAGCAGTTCTCAACCTAGGGGTTGTGACCCTTTGCTGGGTCAAACGACTCTTTCACAGGGGTCGCAGAAGACCATCGGAAAACATATTCACTGAAGTTATGAAGTAGCAATAAAAATAATTTTACGATTGGTGTGTTGCTACAAAATTAGGAACTGTATTTAAGGGTTGTGGCATTCGAAAGGTTGAGAACCGCTGTTCTATATTGTGTTTTTTCTTGCTGTCAGAATTTTGTCTGACCTTGTCCTAAAGTAACATGAAATATATTTGCTAACTTTTACTGTTTTTTTGCTTTTTAATACGTCGGTCATAAACTTGTATTTTCTTCCTGATATCTTCTTCTTTCGAGTTCACCAGCTATGACCTCTGGCGGATATTTCTGGTTGTGTCATCCACTTTTAAACTTTAGTTTTGTTCCAGATCTTAAGATTTGAATGCAGACTGTTGGTTCCCTGCCTCTCAGGCAGATGTAGTCTGACTTTGCAGGGAGCACCCCTAATTAGTCAACTTTAACAACAGGCTTGTTTGGGGTTCAGTTATTATAACCCCCCTCCCCCACTGTGTGGCCCAGGAACCTACACAGGAAGCTTCCTGATTAAAACAGCCCCAACCTTATATGAAAGCCACAAGCTAAAGTAGCATTAATAAATAATATAATAATCATTGTAATTTAGATTACAGATTTTTGGAGGACGCCGAGCGTAGACTTTACAGCAACAAAACAGCCCCAGAAAATCGGCGTCGGGCCGCACCCAGTGCTTCACTTCATTTAAATAAACGGGTGAGTACTGAAGTGTTATTTTACAGCTGCAGTATTTTAGTGTTTTATACAAACACTGTTCTTTGGCCACATAATGAGAAGAGAGACATTAAAGAACATCGTGACAACTGGAAAGATCAGTGGAAAAGGAGGTAGAGGCAGACCAAAAGAGAGATGATGCTGGATGGGCTGAAACAATGGCAAGGGGGGATATCATCAATAGAGCTGTTCCAGGCAACCAGGGATCTTGAGCCCCATCCAGTTGGCAGGGCACATGATGATACATTTTGTTGAATCAGTTTAAATACATCTTCATCAAATGCCTTGTCGACAGGTGTGAGCTTTTACACATATTATGATTTCAGAAACAGTGCAGTAGACATTCAGATACTCATCTCTACTGCTTGGGGGGAATGACGGATGCCATCTGTGAAGAACATGTGGATTGGAGTTTGAATCAAATCACATCACTGAAAGTGGTGCATTTCTGTTACAACAAAAACAATAATTAGGACATCATTAGATGAGAAAGAGAATTCTTAAAAGCTACACAAATCCTATCGTGATAATTGATGTCAATCACGGACAGTTGGTGGATTAGTGAAAAATTATTTGGAAGCCCCAGAGATGAATGATGAGAATACCCTGGACGATAAAAACAGTAATGAAGATGTATTGAAACTCACTCTGACTCAAAAAGAGAGCTGATTATCTACATCAGAAAAAGAATCTACATTCTTTGGTCATGTGATGAGAAGGTGAAAACTGGAGTACATCTGACAGTATGAAAGTTAGAGGGGAGGAGAGGCAGAGGGAGACCCAGAGAAAAGCTGCTGGCATAGAGGATCATCTGTGTCAGAGCTGATTGAAGTACATGAGACAGAAGGTTATGGATAAACATGACTACCAATATCAGATGGCATGGAGAAGAAGAAGAAGAATGTAACATGGAGAGGGAGACTAAAAGAAAAATTAAGAAATGTAAAATAGCATGGTATTCCATAAGCAGAAAAACAGCAGTCCGGCAGCAATAGAGATAACTTATGAATGCCTTGGGTGTCAGCAGTGACAGGAAAAGGATATGGAATATATTGGGGGGGGGGGGGGGGGAGAAAAGGACAGTCAACATAAACTTCTAGAATACATTCAAATGGACAATTCTGTAAAAGCAAGTCCACAGGTTTCTTCTTCTTCGCGAACTCCGGCGGCAAGTTTTGGTTGTTTGTCCACTTCTGGACTTTTTAATTTGTTCCCAGAACGTGAGTGTTGTGTGTGCATCCCTCTTACAGATCTGACTCATTTGCATGCAGCTGTTGGTTCCTTGCCTCTCAGGCAGGTGCACCCCGACTTTGAAGGAAGCTCCAAATTAGTCGACTCTTACGACAGGCTTTTGGGTCTCTTCTTGTTTTCCCTACAATAGGGCCCCAGAACCCACATGGGGATCCACGGGTTTCAATATCTGGGTCACTTAGTAGCAGCTTGTTGAAGATTTTTTCCGGGGAACATGATTTTGTACAGCTTACATCAAAGCAGCGTTACCCAACATGGAGATTTTGTGCAATTTTTCCACTTCAGTAATAATGGAGAATAGACAAAGGACAGTTTAAGCCTGCAAGAAACACAAAGGGAAAGAGCTGGACGTTGCGGCACAGAGTTTTGGAAAAGATTGACAGAATGCCAAAACAGATGTTGAAGTGTACGATGTGGGGGGGGCATTGCATACCTGGCAGAAGTATCAATGGTATGATTATACTTCAGTCACAAAGAGTGCCAGGAATAAAACACATTGCTAAGAACACTGTCACACAGGTCTATGCGTCGGTCCTATCTCAATGACCAAGAGCTGCAATCAGACTGCCACCATGTTTTATACCAGCGGTCTACCTCACAATACATGTGGAGTCCACAGTAACCCATGAACATTGAGCAACACGTTTTACCAACTTGAAGTTAACTGGGTATTTTCCACTAGCCTTTGTAAACAAATTCATAAACATTCATGTGCACTCACACTTCTTCCGACCTTTGGCATACTTGTGTACTCAGATGAGTTAGTACACAACAGATGTGGATAAACATAGTGTGCAGAGTATAGACTGGGGACTTAAAAGAGAAAATGTTTTTTCTAATTTTAGTCATTTTGTGACTTTTTTGGGGGGGCAATGAAGTTATATGTTCGATGTGAATACTGTTGCTGAAATGGTATTCGACTACTTTCTAACAGTCAAAGTTCTTGATAACTGCTGCACTAAAACGAGGAGTCAAACTGAAGATGGTCTCCCCTGCACTGACAAAGAACAAGATCAACACAAGCTTCTACACCATTAGGTCAGTGGAGATATTTGGCCTCTGAGTTCATTCATTCATTCATTGTCATGTTGTGCCATTGTGTGTCAATAAAGGGCTCACAGTCTATTTGTCCATTCCATTTGTTCCTGTGCAATTACTTTCAGATCATTGATGGAGTCCAGCCCAGCAGCTTTGATCTCTCTCATCAACAGTTGCCCAGGGTTTCTCTTGGACGTCCTCGTATCCTCTGTCTCTCTTTTTCCCATCTCAGTGTCTGTTTGGTGATTCTGTGCTCATCTCTTCTGAGTATGTGTCCAATATATCACCATCCTTTTTTGTCGTTTTCTTTTTTCGTTCTTTTGAGTGGCGTAAATGCATTTTGTATTGCTTGCAATTCATAGCGAGCATCTGTCAGTATAACGAGTTTTTGACTCACAGCTGCATTTATCAAATAATCTTCTTATTCTTCTTTGCATTCACCAGCTGTAAATTCTGGCTTAAAGTTCTGGATGTTCATCCACTTCTGGACTGTAGTCCTGTTCCAGAACACGAGTGTCGCACGTGCATCCGTTTTACAGATCTGACTCATTTGAATGTAGACTGTTGGTTCCTTACGTCTCAGGCAGATGCACTCTGTCTTCAAAGGAAAATCTCAATTAGTCGACTCTTATGACATGCTTTTGGGTAGGCAATGGGTCTGTTCTTGTTTTCCCTACAATAGAGCCCTGGAACCCACACAAGGATTATCAAGTAATATTTATACTGCCGTCTCCAACACCATTGCCTGTGCTTTGAAATTAGTGGAATGTTCCCCTGTGAGGAAACTGCACATTTTTATGGCACTAGTTTAAAATTCAAATTTAAAAATTTATTGTTCTTTGTTATTGTTTGGCAGCTCTGATACCATTGCCTGGCACATTGAATGGCATTTTGTGGCAACAAACACAGTTATTAATGATGAGAAGTAAGTACGAACGTGTTTGCTATATATGTTCTGTCCTGTTGTTACTCAGTTGTTTCCTTCGCAGTCAGTATGCTTCTGCCTAAGAGACAAAGAAGCAACATTCTGCACACATATAAGCCATGTCTGTAGAACGGATGTACACACAAAACCATTTAAGTACAGTAACAAAGCAGGCCATGGGCCGCCAGTTGTATAGTCATGTTATAGAAGTTTGCAGACGTGAACTAATGGTCCACCATGACGAGGACTCTGAGTGGTCAAATACCATGAAAAGATATAACAGACAAGAAGTAGAGCTAGTCAGGTTCACAAAGCACAAATGAACGTTTTGGCTAGTAAGCTTTCATCAGCACATGACATTACTAGACAGTTACAACTATGAACAAAAAACAAAATCACTTAACTGAGATCTGTCCAAGAAATATCAATATATCTGGCCAGTTAAAGTTCTCTGAGACACATGTGGCCAGGACCTAACTACATTTCTACATGATCATCTCAGAAACGGGTTCTCTGCCGAGTTTCTGGTCAACATTAATAGGATTGATGTCTCCTTTAAAATAGGAGGCCATCTGCCTGAGTAATGACTAACTAACAGTCTGCACACAGATAAACAAGATTTGAAACAAATAAGATGTGCATGGAACGGAATCAGAGTCCAGACATAGAGGAATTTTTAAGGACTTTCTGTAGGAGTTCACAGAAGCAGAAGTTTAGAATGTCATTATTGTATTAACTATACATTTCTTCTTCTTCTTGGCGTTCAGTGGCTTTAAACTCCAGGGGAATGTTCTGGTTGTTCATCCACTTCTGAACTTTGATCTTGTTCCAGGATTTTAGATTTGCATGCACATTTTTACAGATGTGGCTTATTTGTATGCGGACTGTCGGTTCCTCGTCTCTCAGGCAGATACACATTGACTTTGAAGCAAACACCCCTAATTAGTTGACTTTAATTACTTGCTTGTTTGGGGGAGGTGGGAGGTTATCTTTAATTTGTGTCCCCAACACAACGGAACCCCGGCACTCACATGGGGGAAAATATACTTTTAACATAAGAGTGACTGTGGCCAGTTGCTTGGCTGGTACCCTGGAGGCCTTGAGTTGAAATCTGCATATTTGTATAATTTGCCCAAGCTTCCATAAAGGATGCAAGGAAATGTCTTAAAAGAATGGCAGATGGTTGGCTTGATGTTGGGCACCTCACCCATCTAGTGCTGGTTGGTCCACAATAATATGGTTCTGACAACATATTCAGCAAGGCTGTTCAGCTAAGTTTTCTCAGTAGCCAAAATTGTGAACATGGGATTGTCCCTGGCTAGAAGCCCCAATCCCAGCATAGAAAGATCGTTAATACAGTACAACTGGCAATGATCCATAGGCCTCCACAGGCCAGATTTGACCCGCAGGCCGGCAGTTAAATAGCCCTGGTGTACTGTGTAACAAGAGACGAATATCATTTGTGTATTTCAGTTTAAAAAAAAAATGATGCCTCTTTTGCTTTATTATATGTTGATGTAAACTTTTTAGTATTATGCCTGAATAGATAGTGAAATATGCCAGGCAATAATACGCTGTGCAGTTTTATTATTTGTATCCTCGTTATGCCCTGGACCAAGAAGAAGAAAAACTTTGACATACTGCATGACCTGAACATCAAGGAGAACTGGCTTGTAAACAGCATCTTGTCCTGAAATCTGAGGTATTTTGGACATGTGAAGCGTCACAGTGGTCTGGAGAGAACGAATGATAGAGGATGCAGTTTCCAGAACACACGGCAGAGGCTGACCTCCATGAATGTGGATACAAGACATTGAAGATGCATTGGCTGTGAAAGCACATAGGGTTGGAGAATTTGGCTAGAGAAAATAGAGACTTTCAGGCATGTCAAGAAGAAAGCGACTCTCTGTAAAGGATATGCCGATTGATGATAGTGCTCCTCATTATACAAGTTTATGATCTACAGTATATTGTGAAACTTGGAGCACAACTAAAAGAGATGAAGGCTTATTACAGGTTTTTGGAAACAGTCTTACTACAAATCTTTGGACCCATCAATGATGCAAACAGCGGAAGTGGAGAGTGAGAAGCAGTAACAAAATTCAAAATCTGTTTAAATCACCACTGATCACTGGCATCATGAGAGCCAATAGACTGAAATGGTTGGGGTATATTGAAAGAATGTCAGATGACAGAGAAGTTAAAAACTGTATACACAAGGGAGATGAATGGTCGTAGACCACGAGGCAGACCAAGAAGAAGATAGAGAGATAATGTCTAGGCAGACCTGCGAACACTTGGTGTCACCAACTGGAAGGAGAAGGCCACCTAGAGAGATGAATGGAGGCAGGTGATAGCAGCAATAAACCACAAGGGCTCGGAATGCTAAAGAAGAAGAAAAAGTATATTATTTGTATCTTTATTTCCTTTTATGGGTTCCCAATCAACATTTTTGAGAACAAAGAGTAACCCACTGCCCCCTTAACAAGCGTGACATAGGAGGTGACTGACTAGAAATGTTTCCTTCAGTGTTACAGGGCATCTGCCTGAGAGGCAAGGAACCAGCAGTCTGAATACAAATAAGCCAGATCTGTAAAATTGTTATGCATGCAGAACTCAAGTTCTGTATCAAAATCCAGGAATGAACAAACAACCAGAACTTTCTGCCAGAGTTTACAGCCAGTGAGTGCTAAGAAGAAGAACTATCCTTACTGTCCAAATTTATAATAAATTGTCCTTTTGTTTGCAGAATCCCTGAAACTACTAGACTGGTAGAGGCAGCCAGAAAACACACCAACTTTGTCCAGTATCCACATTTGAGGAAGAGCCTGGAAGACTACAAGAAAGATCGATTAGACAAGTGCAGGTTTCTCCTCAAGGTGGATGGATTACCTGCTAATAGAGAGAGGTGATGCTTTACAAGTAACATAGTGTGACCCTAATATTTTGATTTTGAGCTGAAAATGGGACATCCCATTATTATTTTGAACTTAAAACAGGACACCCCATTATTAAGCTGAAAACGGGACATCCCATTATTATTTTGAACTTAAAACAGGACACCCCATTATTAAGCTGAAAACGGGACATCCCATTATTATTTTGAACTTAAAACAGGACACCCCATTATTAAGCTGAAAATGGGACATCCCATTATTATTTTGAACTTAAAACAGGACACCCCATTATTAAGCTGAAAATGGGACATCCCATTATTATTTTGAACTTAAAACAGGACACCCCATTATTAAGCTGAAAACGGGACATCCCATTATTATTTTGAACTTAAAACAGGACACCCCATTATTAAGCTGAAAACGGGACATCCCATTATTATTTTGAACTTAAAACAGGACACCCCATTATTAAGCTGAAAATGGGACATCCCATTATTATTTTGAACTTAAAACAGGACACCCCATTATTAAGCTGAAAACGGGACATCCCATTATTATTTTGAGCTGAAAACTTGACATCCCATTATACACTGAAGAAATATACTACAGTGAAAATACTTATCATTAGAAATATCTACAGATATAATATATGTTCTGCTCTTGAGCTATTTGCTAGATTTAAAACAAAAAGGGGACAATTGGCGTGTTTTTGGAGTGCCGATGGGATGACCGGATCACGGCTTTTAAAAAAAACGGGACTGTCCTGGCGATTATGGGACATATGGTCACCCTACCTAAATATTTATTCTGCAGGGAGGTGTTTAATTTATGTTGAGTTGATTGATCAGTTTTTTTTTTTTAGGCCTGTGGCACATCTGGCCTGTGGTTCTAAACATATTTATAGACCAGTCGGCAGTTGTTATGTGATGGTCATTGTCGCATCTGTCGTCTGTACTTTTCAAGACATTACCTGGTACCCAGTTCTTCTTCTTCTGCGTTCACCCAAAAATGTAATTGCGTTGTACCCGATTCCAGCATGGCTGTGATATTTGACCCTTTTCGGCCAAAACATCTCACTTCTACAGGCATTTATTGACCGGGTTAGCCTTCCCAGTTAGTTTCATGGGACACTGCAGTCTCATTGTTGTGTGGTCATCTTTGTTTCCCAGGTCACAGGTGGTGCCTCACATCAGCCCAGTCCAGAGAAGCCATGTAATGCTGATCAGTCCTCAAGAGAAGGCAGGGGCAGAACATCAGCATTCCCCGCCATCGAAGAAAGCTTCCATAAATGCGGAGCCAATACATGGTGCTCTGGTACTGGGCTAACCACGTCCTGCTGTTTAACCTCACTTCCATATATTGAACATCTCTGTCATCATGTTTTAGAAGTCAACATTAGGCAACCTGCAAAGATGCAATAAAGCCAATCAAGTTTTATGCCAGATGGCACCATTTGTTAAATGCAGACATGTGAATATGAACACTAAAAGAACACTGTTCAACATAATATTCTTACCAATGCTTTGCTGACAGTGTCCAACATGGACACTGTCTTCAGAAGACAGATGGGAAAATAGAACAGAAACTGTTTACGTACTATGATAAGCGTAACGAGGAAAGATCAACTTAGGAACTATGATATCAGGAGGAGTGTTGGCATTGCATTGATCCAATACTGAACTTTATAGGTAGATAACAAATCAAATGGTTTGGCCATGTAACAAGATTGGCAGCAGACAGGGGACCACACCTAGCACTGTTTTACAGATACAAAGGTAACAAACCCAGAGGGCGACCATGCAGAATATGGACCGCAGAAATATCAGAGACACTAAAAAGTACTATATATATATATATATATATATATATATATATATATATATATATATATATATATATATATATATATATATATATATATATATATAGCGAACAGAAGGGCCCGTTCCAGAGATCTCTTCCTGCCCTTATGCTGCGACACATTCCAGGAGTAGAGCAACAAAGAAGTCTCCTCCCTTTTTTTTCTTCTGAAAATCATTTGAGTGTTCTCTGGCTTCTGGTCGGGGTGTTTGTTTTGTCCTGTGTTAAAAACTTAGTTTCTGCATGCTACAGAGGTAAACACCAATTCTGGATTGTCATTTTGTTCTCTCTTCATCTTTCAGATACTTTGAACTGAAACCCACAGCTTGCATTGCTGAAAATCTAAAGGGACATTAATAGCTCTTACAAAGCTAGACTCTTTTAACCCCTCGCCCAGAGAAGACTAATTCTAGTTATTTCCATTTCTCAGTGACCGTATTGTAAATGTTGATATATCGACCTGCCAGCAGTGACCTGTTCTTGCAAAGCATAGTTAACTTTCATTGGTTCTTTGTGTTCCTGCGCAGTATTAAATAGGTCAGAATATGAATATATTAACTTAAAATAGCATTTAGGTGGGCTTTTCTTATAAACCCAATGGCTTTTTTTATAGCTAAGTTGATGTCACATTTTCCCATCGGGGAATATACTTCATTTAATGTTTTGCTGTGTTTTTATGTATGAATTACCCCATTTATATAAAACCCTTTCCTAACCCTACCCCGTCTCTCGCCGGCCAAAAATAAATCTAGGTAGATGTTTCCTAAAGTGGTGCGGTCTACAGGGGTGGTAGCTTGGGTAGTAAGTAAAGCCAAGAACCCTTTCCATGCTTTCTGGCAAATAGGGCTAGAACTATATTTTATGGACCAGTCATCACTCAGTGGGTGGTGTCAACATCGAGCCAACTGCCTTTATCCCAGGACTATACCTGGTACGCACTCAAGGCTAGGTCGATCTGGAAGCCCAGATAATTTTTTGTTTTTAAAATTCCTGGCTCCGTCACGACCTGAACCTACAACCTTCCGATCCACAGGCAAGCATCTAGCCACTACACCACGGGAACTTGGGTAGTGCCGTGATCAAATTTGGGGTAGGGGGGAGGTGGTCTCAGGTGCGGTTGGTGAAAAGTTACCTTTCACTGAATGGAAATGAAGCAGAGAGAGGTAAATCATTTTGATAATTGATAAATAAATCTTTCATACTTGGGTGTGCTTAATTATTTAAAAGAAAACAAAGAAATTACTACGTTAAAGCCAGTAAGATTCATCTTTCTTTTTTTTCTACGCACAGTCCAATCTTTATGTTTCATATGTTTGTTTACAGAGGATATGATGGTGATGAACAAAGAAAATGCCAGCCACTTGTCCGTGTACCACCCAGAGCTAAATCTGCAGACTGCAATTGAGGAGACATTGCTGAACCCGAAGTCCAGTGTGTATTCAACCACAGAAGATTCTGTTATTCACATTTAACAGTCATTTCTTTCAGATTTTCATTTTCCGGGTTGTTTTTGTTGTTACCATGATGTAAATTTGAAACACAATAAACCTCACTTGAAAACTTGTTATAAAATTTATCTTGCTTTGTCATCACCCTGTTGCCAGGCTGTGTGTAGGCCAGTGTCTTAATATTCTGTATTTGTCTAGAGCTTCTCTTGTGGCTTGAGTGATGGATTTGTTCGTGAACAAAGTAGGATTCAGCTACACTATCTGTCTCTCCCTTAGTCTTCCTGTCACCTTCTGCCCAAATATTCTCTTCTTGAAGGCCTGATATACAGTTTGGTCTATCTGCATTCTTATTAGATAGCCATCCCTGATGATCTGACCTGGGTATATGAAACCAAACACAAAGAAGAAGAGATGCTTAAACCACATCTCTGTCTTTTGATGAAATTCAGGCATAGTCTTTACCAGCGTTATGTTTGTGGTGCTGTATTTGTGACCTTGTGGAGATAGCACATTTCACAGGTGTTATTTTCTGTTCCTATGCTCAATGTCCATGTTTGGCACTGAATGATTAGTATGTATAATTCACTGTCAAAGTTACATTTTAGCTGGACCATTCTTCTGCTGTTTGTAATCTCCAGCAGAAAGCATAGACCCTCAACCAAGTGATGATGATCATTCCTTTTATCTGCTGTCTAGTGGGAATTATGGGTACATACCACATTTCCATAAAAATAACATCATAAAATAATTGCTTCAAAAGATGTGTTTGGGCTTTTTTTTCAAGGAATATCTTTTAATTTTTAAAGTCAGCATTTATTTTATTCTGTTACATTCGTGTTATCTTATCTGGAACATCTTTATAATTTAATGTCCGTCGTGTGTTTCAATGAATGGATGAAATCATTCCACCTGGCTGATGACACTAACTAGGGCTTATTTTCTGATCAGGTCTTATTTATGGGGAAACACGGCATGTGCTAACAAATTGACCTTTGGATCCCAGGTTGACTAATCCTAAAATGGGTAGGAAGGAATATCCTGGGAAGTAAAGATGGCTTACCTAGCATAATGGGACCGATGTGTAACTGGTGTAGAAAGAATCCTTAAGTTTTACTTGGTGCTAAGACCAGCTTTTGGCATAGGATGTACTTAAGCAGTGTGAGCCGAACATTTGGAGTTCATTGGTCTGTCTTAATTAAAGTACTGTGGACACACTTCTTCTGCCTCTTCTTCTTCAGCATTCTGAGCCTTTAAGGTTTATTGCTGCAGATATCACCCACCTCCATTCATGGTTGGTCTTCTCTTTTCAGTTAGTGGCACCAAGTGTTTGCAGGTCTGTCTGGATATTATCTCTCCATGATCTTCTTCGTCTACCTTGTGGTCTACGGCCATTCATCTCCCTCGTGTATACAGTTTTTACTTCTCTGTCATCTGAACATTCTTTCAGTTTGCCCCAACTATTTCAGTCTAGTAGCTCTTATGATGTCAGTAATCATTGGTGATTTAAACAGATTATGAATGTCTTTGTTGCTTCTCACTCTCCATTCACCGATGTTTGCATCTTTGATGCTGACACACTTCACCGCTCCCCAGCAAAGATATGAGCACCAGGATGTCTGTCTGCGTATAAATTAAAGTATTAAATATGTTTAAGGATTGGTCAGCGGAGGTATGAACTGAACGTATAACTTATTTTGTGAAATCTGTAGGCGATCTTTGTAGCTGCACATATTCAGTAAGGTAGGGGTTGGAAGAGGAGCAATGGGGAAATACGCTGACACATTGCAAATGTAAATTAACTCCCCAAGGATAATGAGTGGATGTGATTAAAAGGATTATGTGGTCTCTGCCTGATGCAGCACGTCTGTCCCTCTTCAATGTCAAGATAAGAGACTATAACCACTTTCTCTTGAGCAATGTCAGTATAAGTAAATTGGGTCAAATTCAGTACTAAACCTACATCAGAATGCCCAAAGTTCCCTGATTGCGATTATGACTTCACCGCTGAAAGTTGGTATCCCCGTGTGGGTTCCGAGGCCCTATTAGGGGTGGGGGTGGATAGACCCACTGCTTCAAGCCGTGAGAGACGACTAATTAAGGGTTTCTTTCTAAGTCGGAGTGCTTCTGCCCGAGAAGCAAGGAACAAACAGTCTCCAGACAAATAAGCCAGAACGGTGAAATGGGTGTGCACGCAAAACTCTGCAAGTTCTAGAACAACTCTACAGTTGATGAACAACTAGAACTTTCCACAAGAGTTTACATTTGGTCAAAGCAAAGAGAAAGAAGAAATAAAAAAAGAAAGGTGCTGTATATGTTTTACAGCAAAACCTAGAGAACAAAAGATTAAAGGTGATATCTTTTACTGAAAAGGTTTAAGAGACACAGCATAGACTACTCTTTTGGGGTAGGCTTTAGAAATGTGTTTTTACAAAAGCCCACTGAAATAAAAACAGTGAGTGGAAAACGGCTGTTAGCCTATCAAACGAAAATATACTTGTTCAGAGATAAGGACAACAGATTAATGCTCAGAACTTGCTGAGCAGTTCCCAGAGAAAGTGCAATGGTGTAGGGGTATAACGCTGTGAAATGAGCCCTTGTTTTGCTTAAAAAAAAAATCGTCATGCTCAACCAGCATCCCCGTAGGGGAAGCTTTAGATTATAATTGTGACTAGTTTCTGTGCGTCATAATAAGATGGCTCAGCATTGCATGCCACCAAGATATCTCACGAAGGCTCCTGCAGATCCAATGGGCGACGAAGTCGTCTACCGGCGAGCCTACAAGTGACTCGGTAAAAAGGCTACTAAACTAATGGTAATTAATTAAAAAATATGTGTGTCAGAAAAGGCGGCAGAGTACCGCGTATTTTCAAAAAGAGAGAGAGAGAGAGAGAGCGGTGTCAACAAATAAAGGTTCACAACTAGTACAGAGATTTTCTAATTTTTCTAATTCTCTTACGTTGACCACTTTCAGCTAGGTCAGATCATATTTCTGCTCTCTTTCCTGTCTGCTATATTTGTGGTGACGTTTCTGGTCTCGATCTCATTTGGTTTTGGATTGTGTTCAAGTACAGAGATTTCATCGTTTTCCCTTTTTACTTCCCCTATTTTAGCCAATCACAGCAGGCACCCGATTTTAAATGACAAGACAGAAGACTTCATTGCAGATAGATCACTGAGGTCCAGAAAGAGAGGTGAAAATGTGCAGGACCAGAGAATCTGGCAGATATTCAGAGTTGGGCTAAGTAATAAATCTATATCATAGCACTCGAGACATTCCCATATGTGCCCCAACCTCATGTTCAGCAGCCAGCGAAGTTGCAATTACAGTACCAGTAGCAGTCTGATTGTATGTTCTGCTTCTCTTTCCCTGAGTGTCGAACAGATCACCGATTTACTTCCCGCAGCATGGTTCTTTTCAGATCGTGATGAATTAATTGTGCTTCTGCACTGTTCATTTGTTTCTGAAGACTTGCGGATTGGGAGGGGGACGAACACACAGTCAGACCACACAAACACTCTTAACTCTTTGAGTCCCAGGGGTTTTAGCATCACAGCCCAAGGGGTAGTCAAGACAGTAATAAAATCAGCGCATCATGCGTTCATTGGGCTTCTAGGTAGGAATCTATGAACGTTTGATGCGTTCTTTGGGACTCAAAGAGTTAAAGAATACAACTCTGTTTTGTTAGCTTAAAAAAAGATGCGGAATGTTCATGGTAACGACCCGAATATTGTGGTGTCCGGTTTTTAACTCATTTAATCTTTTCTATTATCATGTCTGTTTTTATTTTCAATTTCCAACTCTGTCCTCTTGTTTTCTTTGAGTGTCAGTCAACAGTGATAAACATCGTTAGAATCAAATGCGCATGACCCCCGTGTGGGTTCCGGGGCCCCATTGTGGTAAAATCAAGAATAGACCCATTGCCTCCCCAAAAGCATGTCGTAAGAGTTGACTAATTGGTGAACTTCCTTTGAAGTCGGAGTGCATCTGCAGGAGAGGCAAGGGACCAACAGTCTGTATTCAAGAGAATGAGATCTGTAAAACTGATGCACACGCAACACTCAGGTTCTGGAGCAGGACTGCAGTTCAGTAGTGGACGAGCAACCAGAACCTTCTGCCAGAGTTTACAGCTTTTGAACGCGTAGAAGAAGAAATGAGCATGGAAAGGTGGGTCCCCGCCACCCTGTAACCTGTTCCTAGATGGGTTCTTCAAGTCATATCTTGATGCTGGTAATCAGCACCGATATAGTTATTGATCTAATGCACATTATCACTTTTTTAAAGTTATTCAACGTGTTAATTTTTTTTTTTTTTTTTAATAACAAAGTCTAAGGATTTTCAAAATCGCTATGTCGTAATTAAGATATGAAGACAAGAAGGCTTACAAAATTGCTTCACAAGCAGTGATTTGTTTTATTTTAAGTTTATAGAGGAAACAATAAAAACACACAAATTACTTTAGCGCAAATAACTAGACATCTCGTCGCCGTCCTTCTCCTCCTCGTCATTGTCGTTATCGGCGCGGTGTTTTTTTAAAAAAAATTTGTCGTACAGGTCTGGCGTCAAGACTGACTGACTGACTTTCTACCCTACTCATACATTACACAAGCTATAAAAACCCGATGATACAAAGTGCCACCATGTGGATGATGATCGCCGTGGAGAGGTCCCAGAAACGGCGTTCAGACAATTGGTCATATTTATGGCCTGTCTATATTGCGGCCCCTGGCAAAAGCCAGGGTGGGGCTTCAAATAACAAAAAATGTCATCCTAAAAAGGACGAAGCTGGATATATATGGTCTGGCGTAAATTTCTCCATTACGATTCATACTATGTAATCTTGTCGAGACATTGTGGTTGGTATTCAGTCCGGTATACCGTGAGCCTGTCTCATCAAAGTTTGTCATATAGTTTTTCTTGGTCTGTTTTTTTTTTTTAATTACTTCCCCAATTCATTTATGCCCAATCTACTTAACGTTTTGTGATTCTATGCTCGTTTCTGTCCAGGAAGTGCTCAGTCTTGACTTCCTCCAACTTTTCAGGAGCTTTGCGAGTTTGCTGTACTTCAAATGATAAGTATGCTGGCAGTTCAGAAAGACAGATGGATATGCATTTGATTTTTAAATCGATACTTCCTGGGTAATTCATATTCAGCACCAGATTTATCAGTAAATTTATCGGACGAAATCATATCACAGGAAAGAAAATTATGATGACACACACCACGCTGTATTTAATCGTAGACCATTCTTTACGTGGTATGCACTTTCCAATTTCCCCCTCATTTAAGAATTACTTGGAATTTTGAATACAGTCATCTATTCTCTTTACGATTTGTAACAGGGCTCAAATAAAGGAATACAACATTTCCTAGGCATTTGTGTAATCACACTCCACAATATAGTTAAAGAATGATGTTTCGGCAACATTCGAAGCAACCAAAGATGGATGCAAATCTACACATCAGTCGACGAAGGAAGACGGGTTTTTCTTAACTTTTCCGTCCCAAACAAAGCATGGTTAGCATTTCATTGTTGCTTGTTGATCTTTCACACGTGCTGGTCTATGTTACAGGGGTGTCACGCTGCGTTGTCTTCGATGCTCTCACCGGCGATGTCGTGTATTCTACATTGAAAAATGTGACTGAGTTTACAGAAAACCTAGAACTGGCACAAACCCTTACCCCACAGGCTCAGCCTACGTCACAGAAGAGAGTGCAGCCTACGTCCCGTGTCACGCTTTATTGTCTTCGATGCTATCACCGGCGATATCTCGTGTTCTATATTACACCATCTGACCGCTTTTAACGACCCAGACCATCTAGAACTGCCCCTAACCCTTAACCGTAAACCCCACCACACAGCCTCAGCCTACGCCCAACGAGAAACTGCAGCCTACGTCCCATGGTTTCAGAATTATTAAAACATTTCCGGTACGCCCTAAAAAAGCTGTCTTGCTGCAGAAAAGCAGCGCCGCTCTCCTTATAGCTCGTCAACGCTGACAACTGAAGTAATTTTGAGCCCTACTTGAAGTCCGAGAAAGCTATAATGTACGCAATATCGCTGGTCGCTCACAACAACCAGTACACGAAGAAGGATTAGAGCATCGAACACAGCACACCTTAACACCCCTGTAACGTAGACTACAACGTGAGAAAGGTCAACAAACTTGAATGAAAGGCCAACGACGGTTTGTTTGGGGCGAAAAACGTAACAAGTTCTGGAAGTGGGCCCTGCCTATGAGGTCACGAAATGTCTAGATTGGTCAATCTTCTGCTGGAGGTCACGGCTCAATCTGTGACAACAAATTTTAATTCTACGAAATAATGCCAAAACACTTTAGCACGTAATCCGGAAGTGACGACAAGATCCCGCTTGTTGTCTTGACAAGTTTGGTAAACGATCAGGTTTTGGATTTTCGATTCCGTCGCTGACTTGCTGGAAATCTTTCCCAGGTTTTACGAATAATAATCTATGTTAGATGTTATTAGACACTTTATTTCTCTCGCACAGAAAAACGCAGTCTAATAGGATGAGTGCCTATAATAACAGTATTTCATTTAATCATAATCATTTAAAAGTTTTGACAGTAAAGTTGTAAACTGTTGTAAAGTTAAAGTTAAGCCCGCTCGTAGCCCAGCTGGGTTAAATCAGGTAACGAACTCTTTGTGGTCCGGTTTCACGCCCGCAGGTAGGCAGAAAAGCCACCTTTCTCCCAGATTTACAGTTTCTATCAAAGCCGAAAGTTTACGATATCCATAATACAGAGCCAAAGGGTTAAACAACTCATGGTTTCTGGATTTAAAAGGAAAACCGCAAATTAGGTCGAGAAAGTGCGCAGTTGACACGTGAGTGAGGCCCTGTTTTTGGCCGCCATCTTTTGCACCCGTTATTAGGAGGATAGCCGTTAAGTAACTACTATTAAAACTAGTACTACTTTACTACTTACTTAGTAGTATTACTAATAGTAATTAACTTACTTAATCAATGATTAATTTTATTCGTTCCGTTAACAGCTTTCTTTACCTAATTAAATTAGTAACATTATTATTTATATTATACATTTTCTGAATTCTATGCTTCTTGGCGTTCACCGGCTGAGTGTAAACTTCAGGGAAAAGTTCTGGTTGTTTGTTAACTTCTGGCCTTCTTGTTTAAGAACTTTAGTTTTGCATGCCCATCCATTTTAGTTTTACAGGTGTGGCTTATTTGTTGGTTTCTTGCCTATCAGGCAGATGCGCTCCGACTTCTAATAAAACACTACTAGTAGTTACAAAATGCTTGTGAAAGTGGGGGAAGAGGCAAAGGGCCTGTTTTAAAAAAAATAGTTTTTGTTGTCTCCCTACAATGGTACCCTTTAGCCCATACACAGAAGATGTAAAGATAATTTAATGATTCGTATATCAATCCTTCAGAGATGCAAACTTTACAAATAAAATGATTGATAACTTTTTTTATTGAATTAAAATAATATTTTATAATTCAGTGCCCAAGCAGGATTACCTTGCATTAGTACTGTTAGTCCTGGGAAGTAAAGACGGCCGGCATGATGCTGATTACATCACCTACCAAGTGCCGATTAGTCTATACAAATGTAAGTCTAGCCCTAGATTCCCAATACACCTAAAGGACTAAAGGTGTGGAAAAGGGACCTTTATTTTACTTTTAAGTACTGTTAGTATTAACTCTTTGAGTCCCAAGGAACGCATCATACGTTCATAGGTTCCTACCTAGAAACCCAATGAACGCATGATGCGCCGATTTTATGACTTTATTTACTACCCCCTGGGCCTGTGATGCTAAACCCTCTGGGACTCAAAGAGTTAAGTAAAACCTCGGCTCTCCTTGCAGATCTGGACGAGGGTTGGACGCGGGCTGGACGAGGGAGAGAACTCCCACTAAACTAAGTCGTCCAGCCCGAGTCCAACCCTCGTCCGGATTTGCAAGGAGAGCCAAAACCTCTCATGTCGTTAACAACTTAACCATCTGTTTTTAACATAGAGAATAATAGAAAGTACAGTACCACAGTAGGGGGAGGTGTTTCACTATGGCTTTATTATTTTATTTTATACTTTCTGATATGCCTTCACAGTGGTTTTTATGGTAATTTAGTTATACATAGATGTTATTATTAATTTAGATCTGCCACTATCATCATGTCGAATTATGTCTTTATTCAGATTGATTGAGTTGTTACCAAGATGTCCCATCAAGGAGCAGCTTTGCAGAGTTACAACAATGAACTTGTAAAATGTAAGTCGTCATGATTGTTTGTTTTTAGAGGAGTAACAGTTTGCGAATACAGTAACAGTTCACCATCATAAACTTGCTCAAGAAGAACACTTAGTTAACATGAATACACTTTTGGTCACAGCATGAGTGTGTTATTATGGTTTGTTCAACACTATATAAACACATTTGCAAGCCATTTTCTCAAAAACTGCCTGTAAGATCATAATGCTCTTTTCTATGCAGCCTTAGAAAACGCACGATACAAAAATAGTGGAATTATTTAGTCCATAGATGCTTAGGATGCTGGATGTCAGCCAATTCCTTTGATCTTTTTTGGACCACTGTAAATAAATAGAATGAACTTTTAGATTTTACAGTAAACATCAGTTTCCGGTTCTGTATTTTTTATTCAGAGGTGTGTCTTCATAATACATTGATAGGTGAAGTAAATTTATTATCATTTATGTTTAATTGAGCTTAGTTGAGCTGAGTCAGGAAAGACAGCACTTGGGGCATAAGCACTATGTCATAATCTTTAGCAGCCAACGCAGAGTTCCATTACTAATGGTACCGGACGCAGTCTGATTATATGTCCATCTTGCCATTCCTCTGAGTGTAGTGTGCCGGAGAGGCCCTCTGGTCACACCAAGGAGTTTAATTTTTTCCAGGCCTTTTCTGACAACATTACTTTTTCCCAAAAGGTCTTGACCAAATGTGCCTTGTCATGAATCATTTCACCACTCAGTGGTGCAGATCCAGCCAATCTGTCTGCCTTGTTTAATTGTAAATATTTCCCCAATATGCAACAGTAAGTATTCCCCTTCGTTCACTATTAGACCCCTGGATGTATCTTAACTGTACAGCAAATTTTATTATGGTTGACACATTAGGATATGGAGATGTATTTGTTGCAATTGTAGATGCATCTAACGGGTTGATGATATTCAACCACTCATCTAAAAATGGTTTTAATCATTCCGAATCTAACGATTCCAAAAGGCTCATAAATGTTACTGACTGTACAAATTGTAATCCATCTCGGTGCCAGTACTCGTCTTTCTCTCGAAGCACAACAAACTTTTCCAGAAATGAATGTGAATTGTTGAAAGGGACTCATGTGTCAGAACTTTAACATTACACATTTTAAATGTAGTCCCTGTCATCCGTACTTTTTGATTGGAAAATAAGTCTGGCATCATGGATAAGGCCCTTTTCACTGCTTCCTGCAAAAGTGAGTATATTTGGCTAGCCTTTGCTGCTTTGAATGTTTTTCTGTTCACCATTTACTGATTGCCATTCTTTAGCCTAGGTATGGTGAGTTTTAACCCAGGATTCATCCAAATATACAATATCATAGCCTTGCTTCCGTCCCTCACATATCTGTCTCAGTTATTTGCTTCGATTAGCAATCAGATGTGGCTTTTCACAAACAAATTTTCCTTCCGCCTACAGTTTTCCTGAAAGTGAAACGGTGGTTCTTACAATTTTCCACAGACTACTTGAAATGTCAATACTGCATTGTTATTTCAATGTTAATTTCAGTTTTTGGAGAGTAACAAGTTGATTTGTCTCTAACATATTTAAAATCTCACGTCTAATGACACCTACATACAGGCTGTCAACTTTCCTTTTCCTTCCTATTTTTTTGACATGAGCGTAGTGTGACCTATCTAATCCAACAATTAAATGATGCTCTATCCAGACCAAGTGCCAATTGTGCTCGTTTCTCTGGGTAATAAATATAACAATATAAATGACCCATCTTAGATTCCCTGAGAAAATGCTGGTACACTAGATCCTTAACCTCCTGCATAGCTATATATTTACGTCTCAAATTATTTTGAAGTTGGTGTCTATGTCAGCTTTTATGAGCTAGCTATATGACACAATAACTCAACACTAATTTGTGGATACGCCTTTGACTAAGGCCACTAAAAGTGTGTCTGCACGAGAAAATGAAGAAATTGCGTAGGTTTTCTTGACCCCCTATTAAACCAGTGTGCATTACTTCTTGAAACTAATGAAAGTAAACCTTCCAAAAGTCTACCAAGACGGTTTCATGATAAAAATATCTATTGTAAAGAAGAAGAAAAAACTACACTTGATATTCATTTTTAGTGAAAAAAATATTTCCTTAATGTCATTTATATTCTAAAGCTGCTTGCAAAAACTCAGTGAAACAAAACAGGTAGTTTTTGAGAAAATGTGTACAGAGTACATTGAAAACTCATTTGAAACATGAGTAAAGTTGATTGGCTGAGTACCCTGCTAAATGTCAAACTAAGGTTCAAATGTCCGTCCTCCGAAATTCCTACTACATGACAAACCTTGATTCAAACATCTGTCGATTGAGACTCCTGCATGGCTGGTTCAAATGTCGATCTATCAAGTGTCCCATTGTGAGACAGCAAAGTTCAGAGATTCTACTTTATGACACAGAAGATTCAAGAAAATGTAATAACTACACAGGAAAGCCATTTATGCTTCCATTAAGTACCAGGGGCATCCACTTGAAAGATATCAGTAACAAAGAGAAAAGTCTACATGCTGAGGAAGTGAGATGCCCATTTGTATAGTCTGTAGACTGCTTTTAGGATCCCCAAAGGGCACAGCGTGTAATTAGTGGAATGTTGAATATACAGATGTTGAGGTCAAGCAGTCTGGCAGGACATGACGATTCCTTGAGTGAGCTCAGTACCAGAAAACCATATATTGGCTCGGTAATTATGGAAGCCTCCTTAGATGATTAGGAATGCTCATGCTCTCTTTCTACCCTTCCTTGAGGGTTGACCACTCCTCCTGTTGCTGCCCAGGACAGGTGTAGGGACGATGTGGTTCAGGGGATAACAAAGTCACCACACATATAAGGCTACAGATGTTCCACACAATGAGCTGGAAAGGCTAATCCGGATAACAAATGCTCAGAGAAGTTGGATGTGTCGACCAGAAAGCACAGATATCACAGCTTTGCTGTAAACAGGAACAGCACATTTGTATCACTTGGAAAAACGAAGAAGAAAAAGAATTTAATAATTGAAGCCATACAATTTAATTTGAATTGCTTTTTTTGGTATTGGTAACATACTGAGATAATGTTAGAAGAAAAAGAAATAACAAAACAGGCACGGAAATGGGATACAAACGGACTGAGAAAGAAATGATCTTTAGGAGAAACCTTCCAATAAATGTTGATTATAATGTCTGGATTAGATACCACACATTATATTTAAAAAAATTGCATAGCATAGAATGAAATGGGGGAATTGACTGCAAGCTGTATATGATATATAAATGTAAATGAATATAGATTAACTTTATTGTTTTTCTTTGTATCTAAAAGTAGTAAAGGATGTGTGTTTATGGCTTGTCCAGGTATAGAGGAACTGTGCAGCAAGCGAGATGAAATCCATCGTTCAATCTTGCAGGAAGAGGAGGAGAAACACAAGCTTCAGAATGACATTAGAATTCTCACAGAGAAGCTTGCAAAGGTGAATGAATCGCTTGCTAAGAAAATAGCGTCACGCAGTGAGTTTGACAAGACCATTGCAGAAACAGAAGCTGCATATATGAAGGTATCATATTCTTTATTTATGTTTTAGCATTGTATCATTTTATTTCCCCTCTGATGTGTCTCTAGATAAGTGTAGTAGAAGGGCTTGTGAGGGCCAATGACTTCAAGAGATATGCTGATCATATATAGCTTAGCTCCCCGTGTGGGTTCCGGGGCCCCATTGTGGGGAAAACAAGAATAGACCCGCTGCCTACCCAAAAGCATGTCGTAAGAGTCGACTAACTGGGAGCTTCCTTTGAAGTCGGAGTGCATCTGCCTGAGAGGCAAGGAACCAACAGTCTGCATTCAAATGAATCAGATCTGTAAAAATGATGTACATGCAACACTCAGGTTCTGGAGCAGGACTGCAGTTCAGAAGTGGACGAACAACCAGAACTTTCCACCAGAGTGTACAGCTGGTGAACGCGAAGAAGAAGAAGATACATAGCTTAGCAACTACTGGTCACCTATGTCAGAAAATCAAGGGATAGGAGCTAGACGGAGAGACACAACCCTACTGTCTTGCAGGTAGACTGGAAACAGTCAAAGGCTAGGAAACGCTACCTGAAAAGAAAAATGCTCATTGAAATCACACTTAAAATGTGAAGCAAGTTACGCTGCACTGTTAATTTATCCATGACCCACCACAGGCATCATGAAACAGTCTAGCATAGCTCGCTTTATGATATTACGATATCATCTTAATGCTTGTTTACATATTCACTTGTAGTCCGTTATGTTTTTACGAGGTGGTGGGTAAAGAGGGAAAGGTCTGATACAGAGTATCACAGTATAAACAGGAGAGTTACGCTTTCTTCTACTTTTCATCTTCCAGTGAAGCACAATGCCTCAGTAAGGTTTGACAGCTGGTTCATGGCTGGTTTGATCCTGAATATAACATCTTTGTGTGTGTGTGTGTGTGTGTGCCCTGAGGTAATGCCAACCCCCTTCAGTTATCTCTTTTGCCATGTATAGTAGGTCACAACCTTACCAATCTTTCCTATCCTTATGGGCCCCAAGAACATGTGGGTGGACCCTATAACATAGACAGGGTGGCTGAGTATAAAGTTCATCGGTGACCGCATCGCCAGTTTGCTTGCCAGTAGATGACTTAGTCGCCAGTCGGGACAGTATTTGAGTCTGTCTCCTTTGATCGCATCAGCTGTGCAGGAGTCTTTTTCAAGGCTCTTGGTGGCGGGCAGTGCTATGCCATTTTATGGGGCGCACTAACCTAGTTACAATTATAACCCTTCAGGGATGCTGGTTGGATGTGACGAGTTTTTATTTTTTCCCTGGCAAAGCACCTACATAACTACCAGTAAACAAGAATTGGACCACTTAAAATCGAAGTCAGAGTGCTTCTGCCTGAGATGTAAGGAACCAACAATCTACGTACACAGATAAGTCAGATCTGTAAAAACGGATGTGCACGCAACAATCCGGCTCTGAAACAAGATTAAATCCAGAGCTGGACAAACAACCAGAACTTTCTGCCCTAGTTTACGGCTGGTGAACACGAAGAAGAAGAGGATTTCACATTGAGGCAGATGTTTGAAAAATCAGCTCCTGGGTTTGGCCGGCTTAAAATGGGTACTAGAAAATGTCCTAGGATACTGGTTACACCACCGCTACAGTGTCAATTAGTCTTTAAAGTATGGGACTAGCGCTGTTTATTTGTTACACAACGCAAAGTATGGAAATGATTGCATTACCCTAGTACTAAGTGCTTAATGCAGTATTGTGAGCTGTGTCTTTTGTGTGGAGTGGATTTGATCTGTGCCTGCAGCAGTTTGTGTCATATCCCATAAAGCTGTGTGGCAGGTCTGTGTTTGGGCTGCCGAAGTGCCACATGCAGTCATATTGTGTGTGTGAACGGCCGACTTGTTGTTACTGACTACATCCATTGGTGACATTTCTGCAGTTTTGATGTTGTCACCTCTAGCTGCTGCCTTATGCATTCACTATGTTTGCAAGTTTCTAATTGTAGCTTGGACTAATTGTTTGTTCATTGGTTTTTAAATGGAACAGTGTGGAGTAGTTTATATTATTATTATTTTTTTTAAAAACTGGTACAGAAATGGATCAATTATGGGGTGACCCATTTCCAGTGAAGTTGAAACCTCCTCTACAGACCACAATGTGGAAATAAGTATAAACTTCTACTTATGCACGATAAAACACAGAAAATTGAAATGTTTTGGTCACTTGAAATGTCATGAAAGTTTAGAGAGAACAGTAATAGAGGGGTTTATGCGTGGGAAGAGAGGAAGAGGGTACAGGATGTAGCGGACGATCTCCAGATGGGTGTATCGGGCACGGGAAATCTTGCTTGTGATCGAGAATTTTTCCGGAAGATTGTTATGTGAGTAATGCTCTGCAAAGGACATGCTACTGACTGACTGATGCACCAGCAGTGACCATTGAATACAATGTTATGACTACATTCCCACCTTTGGTGCTCCATTCTTCAACTCATTCTCAGATGTTGGCTGTCCTCTGTGTGTCTCGGGGCTCAGTTTTGGAGAACAAAGAGTCAGCCGACTACCCCCAACAAGCACGACATAGGAGGTGACTAATTAGCATGTTTCCTTCACAGTCGTAATGCATCCGCCTGAGAGGCAAGTCTGCATACAAATAAGCCACATCTGTCAAATGAATCTTTTTTGTTTCACTACTGGAATGCCTGACGGACAGGAAAATATCCCTGGAAAGGGTCCTTCTATTTGCTTTGTATAAAGTACTTTTCCGTGTCTCTGATATTTCTGCCGTCCATCTTCTGTGTAGTTAACCTCTAGCTCTTTTACCTCTGTATCTGTATAACATTGCTGTCTGTGGTGCCCTATCTGATGCCAGTCTTGTTGCATGGCCAAACCATTTGATTTATTGTCTACCTATAAATTTAATTATTAGTTCTGTGCCGGTTCTCCTGATATCATCGCTCCTAAGTTGATCTTTCCTTGTTACACCTAGCATAGTATGTAAACATTTATTTTCTGTCGTGACTATTTTTCTTCTGTCTTCTGAAAACAGTCTCAACGTATGAATTTCTCCTCCTTATGTGAAATCATCTTGTTTGTTTCAGATACTGGAGAGCTCTCAGACCTTACTCAGTGTTCTCAAAAGAGAGTCTCAGTCTCTGAGAGAGAAGCCGTCCCCTGCACCAGGGGCTCCGTCACAAAGAAACCAGCCTTCTTGAGGACTGTGTCATCTGTATATACACATGTTGAATCATAATACCTATGTACATAGATTTCATAACTTATACTTTCTCCTGATTTTTACTGTGAATTGTTAGTTCCCATGCATGCTTCATCCTCATCTTCAGCAGCCAGCGCAGAGTTCCAATACTGATGGCACTGGTCACAATCTGTTTATATATCCGTCTTGCCTTTCCTCTGAGTGTAGTGAGCCGGCCAGGCCCTCTAGTTAAACCCAGGTGCCTCATTCTCTCCAGGCAATAATAATCTTCTATTTCTGCTGATTCCGTTGCTTGTTCCCAACGGGCCTTGACCACATCTGCCTTGTCATGTATCAATTTCCCACCCAGTGGTGCAGATCCAGCCAATCTGTCTGCCTGTTCATTACCCACCACGCCGGCAATACCTGGAGAAAAGATTTAAAGTATGCTCACTACCCGTGACATGTCAGGTGAAGCTTGCCACTCTGCCCGAAGCCTCCCTGTCTTCACCTTTCTCAGCATGCTTTCAGAGTCTGTTGCTTACCACTATACTATACTGTGAATTGTAGTGAGGCTGAAGAGTAGAACTCTTACAAGTACTTTAAATTATAGCATTGAAGAAAACTTTTTCACAAATGATTGGCAGAACATGTGGCAGAACATTGTGGAGAAAATGACAAATGGCATGGACTATGAGAAAGCAGAATAAGAGATTGAAATACACATAATCATGTTGAAGCCTCATACGTGAGGCATCAGAGCTGTGAGTAAATCCTGTAACTCCATTGAGGCCTCATGTTAATCCTTTGATGCTTCAGAGATATAGAGTAATCCTTGCAATGCTTTGAGGCATCAGTGATGTAGAGTTATCATATTAATGCTTTGAGGCATCAGTGATGTAGAGTTATCATATTAATGCTTTGAGGCATTAGAGATGTAGAGTTATCATAATAATGCTTTGAGGCATCAGAGATGTAGAGTAATCCTAATAGTTCCCAGAGATGGGGTCTTACAACAGCATGCTGAGTGAGTAATCTGTATGTTTTGAAAGCGACTTAGATCTGAAATCAGCTTGTCACGAAAAGTTAGAAAGAGAAGTCACCATTTTTTAAGCATACAATATGAGAAGAAAACAATTAGAAACAGTTGTGGCAGCAGAAATGATTCATGAGAACATAGAACAAGGAAGACAGTGTGAGAAGATTCTTAAGAGCCTTTTGTCGGTGCATGGAAAAGAATCGGCACACAGATTGATACAATCTATCTGAGATTGCAAGCTGTGTGTGGGTAACCATGTTTGTCCAACATACTTGGCAAGGCACTTGATGGTGATTTTATTAGTTCTGGTAACAGTAGATAAATCATAATAGTGAAAATGAGATGTCTTAGACAGCTGTCAGAGTAACAAGAGATACAATTGAAAATGAAGAAATTTGAAGACCAGAACTGTCTTACCAGTCATAGAATTCATTAGAGTACAACAAATGAAATGATTTTTATTTTGGTTGAGAATGCCCTGGTAAAACTGCCACAGAGACTAACACTCACTAAATGAACACAGAGGAAGGGGAAGACTATGCAAAAGATTGACACTCAGCATTAAGAACAGATTAAAATAAAAATAAAGACAAACTTATACATATTCATATGTCTTCCTCCAAACACTTCATTGAGTTAATGGTGAAAGATAAGACCGGCGGAAAAAGTAGAAAAATATTCTATTATGTTTAAGGATTGATGTGTCTTCATAAGATGTAGCTGGCAATTGTATGGTTGTTCCAATCTGTATTCAAGACAGGAAACAATCTATGCAGGTTCAGAAACTGTTTAGCCAAGAATGTTTAGTAATCTTCTTCTTCTTCGCGTTCACCAGCTGTAAACTCTGGCGGAGAGTTCTGGATGTTCATCCACTTCTGGACTGCAGTCGTGTTCCAGAACCTGAGTGTTGCGTGTGCATCCATTTTACAGATCTGACATGATTTTGGGTAGGCAGCGGGTCTATTCTTGTTTTGCCCACAATAGGGTTCCGGAACCCACACGGGAGTTTAGTAATTAGTTTCGACATGGAGTATTCCTTTCTTTTGTGATTCTCTGTTTATTGTTAATAAAGGCAATATAAATAATTTAATGAAAGCTAGTTTCAAATAGTAATTCTGTAGTGAGCGAGTGCTTGGGTGGTATGGGAGTAAGTTAGCTGATTTATGTTCAAATATGTCAGTTGTGTGGTGTGGGAGTATGTCAGTTGTGTGGTGTGGGAGTATGTCAGTTGTGTGGTGTGGGAGTATGTCAGTTGTGTGGTGTGGGAGTATGTCAGTTGTGTGGTGTGGGAGTATGTCAGTTGTGTGGTGTGGGAGTATGTCAGTTGTGTGGTGTGGGAGTATGTCAGTTGGTAGGTAAAGTACTTTTTGTGTCGATATTTTTGTGTTTTGTTTCAGCACCAGCGATTGTTATTTCAACATTTACTCACCACCAATTTGGGTACTTTAACTCTATTGCCCAGAGAAAGCTAAATCTAATCGTCAGATTGTGACACAGCTCTGTAAGTGTGAATGAATCACAATAACTGCAGACTCTTTTACCCGAAAAGCGTAGTCAAATACCATTGGTTCGTTGTGTACCTGTGTAGTGTTTAGAAGGCCCAGAGGGGGTTTCTTATAAATCTAATAGCTTTTTTAAAAGTCAGGTTGACTAAAAAAATTTCCCATAAGCCTAAGTGATAGAGGTCACGGGGTCACAACATTGGTCAGCCAATATGTATTTGTTTTAGGCCCAAGGGAATGCATTCCATTTAATGCTTCACTCTGTTCTTGTTTATTTGATAAACTACCTTTGCGTATCTTTATATATTTTGTAACAAAAATTAAAGACCTGTAGATAAAAAAATGTAAACAGTTTTCCTATAAAAATTGTTTTTTTTTTAAAAATTTTATTTTACATAATTTTTTGTGTGTTTTGAAATGTCCATAGGTTCTTGACAACCATCAATTCTCTTGGTCTGCTTCTTCTACCTATGATGTTTCCAGTCATCATGATATTTTCCAGTGCGCCTTTTCTCATCACATGATCAAACAACATTGTTTGTCTTTTCATTGTTGTATATAATGTTCTACTTTCATTAGTCATTTCCAGGCTTGAAGCTTGCACACAAAAATTAAAAGTGCATAAGACAGCTGTCAGATGTGCCAGCACTAATGGTCCCACAACAGAATCACAGTTCACTGTCGGCGCAAGTGATCAATCATGAAAGCAAGCATTGCATCTGCAAAAGTATACACTAGTATAAAATATAGTGAGGTGGTTGGTACTGAAAGAGTTAGGTTAGAACAATGTGTAAAAGTCATTTGGTTATTTGATCCAGGTTGTGTCGGGAAATAAGAAGGCCGATAGACAGGCTGGTTCTGCACCACTTGGCGGTGAATTGATGTATGATAAGCTAGATGTTGGAAGCAAGTGAACAGTGCCGAAGCACAAATTGATCATTACGGTCTGAGGAGAATGGTGCTGCGAGGGGTTACCAGGGAATTTGGCTGATGCTTAACACCCAAGGCAAGGGCAAGATTAATATACACACAGTTACTGGTACCATCGGAATTGGAACTCTCCGCTTGCTGCTGAAGATAGGGATGGAGCGCTAATGGGGGTGTCCTGAGGGCTGTGATGTCGATTCTTAGTTCAACATTTTGTGTGAAAGAAATAGAATTCACATGACATGAGTGTTCAGACTTCTGAATAGATTCTAAATAGTGTTTTCGAATTAAAATAGCAATGACAAAATCAGTTGATATTTCACAGTTTATTATATGGTTCATTTTGCTGTATAGTGAAAATGCCTTCTGAGTTATTTATCACACACTCAGCTGACATGTTAAAACATGTGGTGACGATAGCAATAACAATTAGAATTCCGTGACATGCAAAATGAAAGGAAATCTGGTTAGTCTAAGACTTCCTTGGTGAATTTTGCAGGGAAATAGGGGGCTGTGATTTGTATATTTCATAAAGGTTTCTTCTTCTTCACGTTCACCAGCAGTAAACTGGGCAGAAAGTTCTGGTTGTTCGTCCACCTCTGAACTTTACAGGTTTGTCCCAGAACCTGTGTGTTGCATTCACATCCGTTTTACAGATCTGACTATTTTTGGGTATGCAGATTGTTGGTTCATTGCCTTTCAAGCAGATGCACCCTGACTTTGAATGAAGCTCCCAATTAGTCGACTCTTGTGACATGCCTGTTAGGGAGGCAGAGGGTCTATTATGTTCTGGCCACAATGGGGCCCCAGAGCCCACATGGCGAATATAAAGGTTTCATTTTTGTATATTCTAATATCATTTCTGTGCTGTGCACTTGATGAGATACAGCTCAGCCCTCTTAACTTGTTATGGGAAGGGGGACTGCTTAAGTGTGTAATAATAATAATATGCTAAATGACAAAGATAAATATTGGTACATTTGAAATCTGCTTTGCCTTTTTATTCACTGCCTGTAAACTCTGGTGGAAAGTTCTGGTTGTTCATTCACTTTTGGACTTTGGTCTTGTTCCAGAACTTAAGTTTTGCGTTTACATTCATTGTACAGATCTGGCTTATTTGTGTGCAGACTGTTGGTTCTTCACCTCTCAGGCAGATGCACACCGACTTTGAAGGAAATATCCTTACTTGGTTGACAACATGCATGTTAGGGAGGCAGTGGGTCCGTTCTTTTCCCCCCCACAATGGGGACCCGGAACCCACCCAGGGAGGATTACATATTCATTGATAAGTGTCACCATTTACTTAAGCATAAGGAGTATTTGTTGTCAGGCATATTTCCATTGATCAGGCATGAGTTTACGATGAACCAAGTTACATTGCACTGTTTCAAGACTGGTTAACTGCAGTTTGATTTCAAATTTGCGTTCTCAAGCCTTTGACCTACTTGTTATCCTTATGGGCATCCCAGAATCTTGGGCTTACCCTTTCGTGGTCCGTCTATCTATGAAGCAGCCATTGGAGTGTCTCTATGCTGACCTTGCCCAGTAAGAGTTGGTGGATATATCTTTTTTTTAAATGTGCCTGGCAACCTGTTTTTAAATGCTTATCCTCTTTGCTCATTCCCAGCAGACGGTGTCTAGTCTTTGACTATTCGATGTGTCCTGTGCTTGTAGACGAAAGCTAGCTAGCTAGTCAACAGATGATCCTCATTCAGTTAATCCTCGGATCTCTTCTTAGTGCAGTGTGTCGCGACTGAAGACACCAGTTCTGTGTTCGTTTCTTATTTTTCTTTGGCTTCCTGCATAGTGCTCTTGTCTGGCCACACCCCTTTTAACATGTTCTTTCAGTCTGGTCTTTGTCATCACTTAGGTTCTCGGAAACGAAGGCTGCGAGACACAAAGTTGCACAGGTCAAGGCGTACATATGACTGTACAGTATCTGCAGACGTTTTGCATTGGCTGAACATTGAATTTGTGTCGCATATTTCTGGACGGTGCCGGAACTAATTGTTTCTTCACCAGTTGTTCGGTTAGTTTCACGATAATCTCACCAAACAAACTAGGTCACCTTCCATTCATAAATTGTTTAGACTTGTCTGCTGTCGGGGGGGGGGGGGGGGGGTGTACCGATGGTCGCTATGTTGCTTTCTGGCTTGTAATGCATTTATGTCTTTCTTCTTGGAAAGAGAATGCTTGTGATATAGGTGAGAGGGGGGGGGGTTGTGTGTTAGACCCAGTTTCTAAATGTTTTTGTAGTGTTAAAAGCGCTGGTGTGCTTAAATGTACATCACACGATATCAACGACATTGTTGAACACCCCTGTGGCAGTGTGCGAAGATCGGGTGACTGGAGGTCGACCAGTCAGAAGTAAGCTAGTTTGTATATGGACGGTCCGTGGGGAGACTTTCGTGGAACTAAATAGTTTTTCAAATGGGGCGGTAAGGAACATTTCATTTGATTTTCACTGGCACATGAATGGGGTGAGTATGGGAGGACGCGATTGGTGAAGTTGAAACCTTGACTAAGACTAAGTAATGTTGTGACATAGGATTTTTAAAAAATACGGAGAGAGAGAGAGAGCTGTCAGGTGGTCCTTGTTATGCCGGTCCGCAGGTGTCAAAAGGCTGAAGAACACCGGTAAGACGTTGTTAGTTGGTCTCTTTATGGAAGGTCACCGTTAAATCCGTTCGAGCAGACGGCCAAGGTCTCCACGTTTTGATTCGTTGTCTGATATCAGGCAGAAGCAGAAACGTGATGGGCATCAGTAGAGCTCGCGATTCATTGAGGATCGTCGCGGCGACCCATGTACGCATACTGGCGGGAAGAAACACATCATGACACGTTAGCCCGAACATCCAAGCAGCAGAGAATCTTTACCAACAAACTTGTGAATGAAACGTGAACTACTTTGTTTGGGGAGACTAACGTAACCTTAACCCTAAAGTAAACTTGCTCTCTCTCTCTCTCTCTCTCTCTCTCTCTCTCTCTCTCTCTCTCTCTCTCTCTCTCTCTCATTCTCTCCGTGTCTTTCTGTCTCTTGTCTGTCTGTCTCTCTCTCTCTCTCTCTCTCTCTCTCTCTCTCTCTCTCTCTCTCTCTCTTTTCAATTCCAGTTGTGGTTGTCAGCGTCTGTGGCTTACGCGTTGGAAACGGGCTTTTTAATTCCGAGGTCATCTTCATCATCATCATCATAAATTTCCTGTTTTGCCGTTAAGCTCAAGGGGGAGGAAGAGTTTGCGATTCATTGCTTGATGGGCAGCGATGGCTACTGTCATTCCGTGACGATTTAGAAGCTCTTTAACGTCATCAGTCCATGTTTTCTTAGGGCGGCCTCTTAGTTTCACTTCAGATCTGTTCGTGTCTAGCGCCTGCATTGGTAGTTGTTCTGGCTGCATTCCTACTAAGTGACCAAACCATTCGATCTTCTGTTTCTCAATGAATTTGCTCCATGGTGTTGTTCCTACAGTCTGATAATATAATTTCTAACTTTGTCTCGGATGGTTAAGTTGGCGACTTTTCTGAGGCATCTCAATTCTAAGGTGATAATTTTACGTAGATTAATTACCATTTGATAACGCCCAAGTCTAACACTAGCAGCACAGTGTTGGTATGAATTTGCTGTGTATAATATCTGAGGTACACGGTTCAAACCCACGTACATACATACATACACGCACACACACACTGATATGCCTTTGTGGCTTCCGGCTCTCCATTTTGGGAGATTTGTTTAGACATGTTATCATCTAACAATCATATAGTAAAAGGGGACTGATAGGAACTTATGCAAACGTGGTCACCTCCCTTTTAAGGCGAACACAGAAGAAGAAGCAGCAGCAGCTACAACAGTAGCCAATGCTATGATCAAACGCATTCATTACAAAATTCTCCAAGGAAAATCCGAATGCATGCGTGTGCTTGTTACAAAAACCATACAGAGACATTAAAAAAAAAAAAAAAAAAAAAGATGGTAACTCACAAAGGCCAGAACTCGTCTGCAAATGTGGGGTGATTTAGATCCAGAATCAACCGAAGCAGATCACACGCTGTGGAGACAACCACAGCAACGACGTAAGGAAGAGTGTTGTCGATCTCTGGTCCAGGCTCAAACAGCTCGGCTTGGATGGACCCGGACGTGTTTCCCAGAGCAAAGCGTCGACGCCTCAAAACCGCAGCGATTATGACAAGAAGAACAGCCAGGAAGATGGGAAGAGCAGTGTCAATAGATCTGAACACCTGCAACGAGTCCAAGCCAGCAGTAAAAAAACACGCCCAGGATGTTTTGAGATGCTTAGTGTATTCATGTATAATAACTGGAACAATGACTAGCGAAGCGATCCAAGGAAAAACCAACAGCACTGCTGTGCCTAGTATTGCAGACTTAGGGCTGAGCCTGGTTCGTGGATTGAAACCCTCGATTTGGGCAATGAAAACGGCCAGCAGCATCACCAGCAGCCAATTAGCAATAAGTTGGTGCATGAGAACAAGGTTGTCAACAATTGCGTAGTGTAGACAGCTTATGATTCTCTGGCCAGTAAGGTGGATTGAGTTGGGTAAAATGATTGTGCAGTTCAAAAGATGCAGAATGAAACGATTGCAGATGATCTTGTTACGGAGTCGAGACCTAACTTCGGGTGAACTCAAAATGGCCGCAAGGAACCATAGATTTACAACTGAACCTACAACAGATGTAAACACCTGGTTTCCCCTGAACACACTTAACAGTATTTGCCACTGATTTTCGAAGTCGGTATAAGTAGTTGCGTTGGTAATGTTGCTACCGCTAATGTTCGCAGCCATTGTTGGTTGATGATCCCGGCAGACAATTGATTATTGAAGATCCCAGTCTACTGTCAGTCTCAGTAGAAAATTGACTGTTGATGATTCCGGTAGAAGATTGTCAGCCAATTATCCTACTAAAAGTCTGCTGATGATCATATAGAAGACGGTTGATCACTTCAGTAGAAAATTGATTGTTGATGATCCCGCTAGAAGACTTGTTGATCCCAACAGAAGAAAATTAATTGTGATCTCAGTATAAGATTGTTTGTTGATGATCCCAGCAGATGATAATGCTTGTAGCGTTATAACTGTTATTTTAACTAACTTTACACCGGCCAGGCGATATGGCAATGAGTGATTCACTATACCTGAAAGTAACAGTGATCACATAAGAATCAATAGCAGTAGAAAGTCTAACAAAAAAGCGCTAATGAACACCATTACTTCTTTTGTTACGTGTCTTCCGGTAGTCTTAGTTTCAGCTTCATAGCAAACGGGTCACCCCATCTTTGCTCCGCTCCCGTGCCAACTAAAAACACACAGAATGTTTATCACAGTCCGTGCGGAAAGATTGACAGACTGCTGTTTCAGCACATCTAGCATACACTCGCATTAAAGCATACGGTAGCAATCCGAAGTACTAACACAAACAGTCCGACATTAACATGTAGTTCATCACTGGTGGTCGCAGAAGTCACCAACAGATCAGCAGTTGCCCACGCGATCAATTTTAATCACATACGGGCACCACCAACATTGTGACGACAGTATCGTGCCATTTTCTGAATCTACAATTCACACCACCACGTTGGTCACAGTCGAAAAAACATTCCAAATGAAATCCGCAGCTCACAGTGTCATGCCATGCATTGAACTCAAAAGCTGGGCTACGAAACTAAATCCAATCTACAAATGGAGCAAAACTGCATCGGTCACCGCCCGGCAGAAGCAAAACATTTGCCTCGGCTTCAAACAGTGCCCCGCCTAGCGTCAATTTTGATCGGAAGTGTCTTCTAAAGGTAAGGGATACACTAGTCCATCTCTTTTAGTCATGGTTTACACAACGCACTTCTCAGATCCCAGGTGATATTTGCACTTAACATACAAGCTGTTTGGCTGAAATAAGTGAAAGGATACATTATTCTACTCTCAATTTAATAAGCAATTAAGGTGAGATCCACGATAATCTCCCTTGCCGAACTAGGTCACGTTCCACTAATAGATTTTTTAGACTCGTCTAATGTCCGGGGCGTTACGGCAATGTTGTTTGATTTCTGGCCTGTCTTGCCTTAAGTTTTTTTTCTCCCCCCCCCCCCCCCCAAAAAAAAAAAAAAAATGCCTGTGACTAGGTTGCAGCACTCTCTAGGAAGGTTGTGGGTTAGACCCAGTTTCTAAATGTTTTTGTAGTGCTTAAATGTACAACACACGATATCAATGGCATTGTCGAGCACACCCGTAGCAGTGTGCGAAGGTCGGGTGACTGGAGGTTGACCAATCAGAGGCGAGCTTGTATGTAACGTGGGAGAGATTATAGTGGAACTAACGGCAATCAAATATTTTATAACTTCTTCTTCTTCTTTGTTCACTGGCCGTAAGCTCCGGTGGAGAGTCCTGGTTGTTCTATCATTTGGACTTTGGCTTTGTGCCATGGCATGAGTTTTGCGTGTACATTCGTTTTACGGCTTATTTATGTGCTGTTGGTTGTTCTTTGCCGCTCGGGCAGATGCCCTTAGACTTCACAGTTAGCTTCCAATTCACATGCCACAATCTTAGCCATGCAAGTAGCGCATATTAACCAGACCACAAATATAACCAGAGACTGGTGGCAGCTTCGCTTGTGACATACGTAATTAAAAACAAATGTATCTCATTTAGTCTCATCTTATATTGATCCTCTAGTACGTTGCGGTGTTGAAGCACCGGCGAAGATCCTGAAACACTTTGGGTAAATTTGACCCCGGCAGCGCTGTTAGGCTACTCTTTTCGATTTCCAACAGCAAAAGATGTAGTCATCTCCTAGCGGGATGTAATTTGTCGTTATTTTGAAGCCCTACCCGGCTCCTGCCAGGGGCCGCAATATAGCCTGGTCATAAATATGGTCTAATGGTTGAACGCGGTTTGCAGGATCTCTCCACGGGTGATCCTCATCCATATGGTGGCACTTTGTGTCATCGAGTGTTTGTTGCTTATGTGATGTCCTAGTGGGGTAAAATGTACTATTACTCCAACTTTAAAGGGATTTTTTTTTCAAAGCACGTGCGCCCGATCTTACTACCCAGAAACCAGGGCTAGTTTTAGTTAGTTGCGTATCCTTTACAGGACGTTGCAGAACCAACCCCATCATTTTTTGGCTGTTGTGGGTTTTCTAGGCAAATTTACGTCCATTAGTTTGCTATTGCCTCTGGAGGTCAGCTTCCCAATACCACTGTCGAAATCAACACAAGGCGCAAGGCCCGCAGCTGGGATCGAACCCGGCACCCCGGCATTACGAAGCTCGTTCGCAACGCCTAAGCCACAGACGCCAACCACTCCAAGGTACCTCTACTGATTGTTTCCATGAAGTGTTGATTATTATGTCTCCCATCTCGGCTTCTAAGACGTGCTTAATTTCAAGTGAATCTCATTGAGTCTTATCTCATCTTGATCCTCTGGTACGTTGCGGTGTCGAAATAAAGAACAATTTATGGAAAAGTGCAAGTTTGTGCGCATTGCTGCCAGCAGCAAATTGAACGTGGTCAATTCTTTTTTAAATAGAATAGAATGCAATGGAAGCTCTTAATTAGATTACTCCCACGACATGCTTGTTGGGAAAGCAGTGGGTCTATTCCCCCCCCCCCCCGCCCCCCACAATGGGGTTCCAGAACCCACATGAGGCATATTTTATATAAAATTACGCAAGCAGCATGGTCGTCTTAACAGTATTTGAGATCCCCGGGAAAAGCTGTACTCGTGTGCTAGTGTTAATCAACCATCATCATCATCATGTAGCAGGTCCTTTGCAGAACGTCGCTCACATCTCGGTCTGCCTGAAAGAAACTCGGTCTCTTGCCAGCTCTCCCGCCTCATGAACTTTCACACTCAAGAAGTCACTTATATCCTGTGCCCATCTTCGTGTCGGTCGGCCCCTGTCCCTCCTTCCCGGTACCATGCCTTCGGCTATAGTTTTTTCCAATCCGTTGTGGCGCTTGATATGGCTACAAATATTTCAGCTTCGGAGAAAGGATGCTGTTTATTAGCCAGTCTTCCTTGATGTTCAGATCTTTTAAGATGTCAATATTTCTCCTCTTTTTTGTCCAAGATATTCTGAGAATCTTTCTATAGCATTTCAGCTCAAAAGCCCCTATTCTCTTTCTTAAGGACTTAGAGATAGTCCACGACTCACATCCGCATGAAGCCACAGGGAAGATGCATGCTCTCAAAATTCTAATTTTTATCTCCTTGCTGGTGCTTAACCATAGACTTTTAAGGCTGTTCAATCTTTGTATTGCCAAGGCCATCCTCCTTTTAATTTCTGTTGAACAATCTCCATTGCTGTTTATTATAGATCCTAAATATTCAAAGTTTGTGACATTTTCAATTTCTTCATTATTTATTGTTATTTTTGGGTGACAGCCAGTTTTATCTGTGGACATTATTTTCGTTTTCTTTAAATTCAAGAACAGATTTTGATCTTCACTGTGCTTTTGGACAGACAATATTAGGTTTTCGATTCCCTTTACGCTGTTCGAAAGGAGGACTGTGTCATCTGCGTAGCGGAGTTCCGGAATAGGGTTGCCACCAATTCTGAGCGGATCGTAACTGTCACAAGTCTGGTCATTTTTGACATTTCTCATTATATTTTCTGAGTATATATTGAATAGGTATGGTGAGAGAATGCACCCCTGCCTCACCCCCTTTTGCACCTCGAACCAATCAGATGTTTCACCAGCTGCTCTGATGGCTGCTTGTTGTTCATGATAAAGATTTTCAATTAAATGAACTAAATGCGCTGGAAACCCCATACTTTTCATAATAGTCCACAGTTGGTGGTGCTGGACACAATCAAATGCCTTGCTATAATCAATAAAACAAGCATGAAGATCTTTGTTGTATTCTCTGCATTTTTCAAAAATTATTCTCATATTAAAGATTTGATCCCTAGTTCCTCTACCCTGTCTGAAACCCGCTTGTGCTTCATCTAGCTCATATTGTAGTTTCCTTTCAATCCCTTTCATGATAATTCGTAAAAGAATTTTGCTAGCATGACTTATTAATGCGATGGTACGGTAGTTGGAGCATACTTTCATATTTCCTTTCTTTGAGAGAGGAATATAAACTGTTCTTTTCCACGCTTTAGGCCAAATGCCACTGTTCCAGATCTTCCAGCACAGTGCATGGTAGATTCGGACGCTGGCCGCTCCTCCTGCTTAAAGTAGTTCTGCTGGTATTTCGTCGCAACCTGGTAACTTTCCTTTCTTCAGGCTGTGTATTGCTGATCGTACCTCATCCAGTAATGGCTCTGGTTCTTTTTCATAACTTTCACAAGTCGTTTTTGAATTACTTGTCAGTTACTCAACCACTCATATGAATAACCATGTCAATTATCGACAAAATGGAAGCTGCCCTGGTCTAGCGGCTAGACACTCACCAGCGGAATCGGAAGGTCATGGGTTCGGTTCCTGACATTTTACAGTGCGTTCGGACACTTTCAGCGCAACAGTTGTGTCTTATTCAGAATTTAAATAAAATACAAGAAACACTTGTTTGTATTAAAGTTCAACTGGTTACAAAAGAACTTTGTGCTGTTGAGCTCTTTAAAGGCTATCCAGTAAGGATCTTATATTTAATTACCTCCCACAAGCAAAAATGCACGCTAATTACTTATTATGCGGGGGAAAAATCTGACAGTTTCTGAGAATGAACTAAATATGAATATATAATTTTATCCATTTATATTCCTCTAAAACTGAGATATAGTTTGTTTTAGGGTGAGTGAGTGACTTTCTACCCCACTAGGACATCACACAAGCGATAAACAT